AGCATCATACATCATAACATTAGTAGCTGGCAGCTACACCCATTTCTAATGAGGATCAAAAGGAGGTGTCGCAGCACCCAAAGTGGGCCAATAATGGCCAAAGGAAGTGTCATTACATGGAGCAAAAGGATTAGAATTACAACCCTTCTAAGGAAATGATTAACATCATTGTAGAAGTTAGCTAGGTTGCACTGCAAGATCCTTCCTCATAACATGAACTAAAATTTCCCATATTTTTGTTTTTTCTAGAGAAGAAAGATAAATAATTTTGATGTTGTAGTTATTTTGTGTGTGAGATTTGAGAATGAAAGATTTGGTGTCATAATAATGTCAAAAGGGAGAATGAAAGATTGAACGTGTATACGTTGAATTCACCAGCAGTGTCCACATGAATGGCTTAATATATTGATATGTCGGCCTTTGTCAATTAAGAAGATGTGCAAACGTTGTCTGAAACTGTGGAATTAGTGATTGTGGCGATGTTACAAGAATTGACCGGGACTTGACATTCAGGCAAACAGTGTACAATTGATGGATATGGTGTAAGGGTTTCGATCCATTTTAAGTATAATGTTTTCATTTTGGTTAGTATTTTTCGTAGATGTTTCGTCTTCAACATTGGTTTAGATTGTTAGTCATAAAATTTTAATAAAAATAGAGACTATGCAATGTATTCTTATTTAGTGTTCTTAATAAAAAATTTAATAAAAAATTGTCTTTTAATAACTAGGAGGAATAATATGAAATTAGTTACTGCATGCATGCGTCAACTTAATTTTAATATGGAGTAATTTGTAGGTACTATTGAGAAATTTATATATATTTTATAATTTTCTTATCAACTCTATATATGTAATTAACTATAAATTAGAATTCATGCATTTTTAAGTAGGTTGATTTTCCTTACATGAACACCAATTGAATCAAAACTACACATACTTGTATAAAAGACTTGTCCTGACCTAATCTTGGATTTAGTTGGACAAAAATTGTACTGTAATTCCATTATCAGTTTGAACACATGGTTGATATATTTCAACATAATCTTACTAAAATTTCACGAGTTGACTAACTTAATTAAGGAGGTAATATGTATCAAAATTTCTTTTCTTTTTTTCTTATTGAAGATATTATATATATATATATATATATATATATATATATATATATATATATATATATATATATATATATATATATATATATATATATATATATATTGAATTTGGTAGCAAGAATAAAAACTGTGTAATTATTCCTTGAGAAGTAAAACTAATCATTGAGGAGTTACTTTAATCAAGATCGAGTATAACAAGAATATAGATTATATCCTTTGTACAAGAAAAAAAAACTACTCCTTATTGAAGATTCCAAAACTACTGAACTACTCCGTATTTTTATTGAAGATTTACTTCGTATTAGAGTAAGGCCTCGTTCACTTCACCTTATTTTTTGTTGAACTGAAATTATTATTGCTGAACTTAAATAATTTATACTAAACTTAAATTATTTTTACTGAACCGATATTATTTTTGCTGAACTGAAATTATTTTTGCTGATTCTCTGTTATATTTCTTCTTTAAAGTTACTGATTTTCACAGAACCGAAATTATTTTTACTGGACTGAAATTATTTTTACTAAACTGAACTGAATTAATTTTACTGAATATTATTTCTGTAAGGTGAAGTGAACAAGGCCTGAGTATTTTAATGCTTAAAAAAATTCCAACATGATTGTGCTTTTAAGTTTTAGTGAAGTAAAAAGTACCGAGTAATATATAAGGCATTGTTCACTTCACCTTATTTTTGCTGAATTGAAATTATTTTTACTAAATTGAAATTCTTTTTGCTAAACTTATTTTACTGGACTGGAATTTATTTTACTGAACTTAAATTATTTTTATTGAACTGAAATTATTTTTGTTGAACTGAAAATATTTTTACAGAATATTATTTTTTAAAGGTAAAGTGACAGGGCCTAATTTTTATACTCTTTAAAAAAAAAGTTTTTTATGCTAATGAAATACCAACATGGATATGCTTCCTTTAAAAAAAAAAGTTAAAATAATAATAATAATAATAATAATAATAATAATAATAATAATAATAATAAGTAGTAGTAGTAGTAGTAGTTGTGGGTTTGTGCTTTGTAGCATAGAGGAGCTTTTTAACATGGTGAGACACATGTCATCCATGATGCTTACTATATTTTCCAGTGATAAGATGAATATTACATAATTGTACAAGCAAGAGTTGAGGATGTCTGAAATTTACTAAAATAGTAATAAAATCTAATTTAATTTTTGTTTATTCATCCACACTTAAAATAGTAAGAAGTTTAATATAAGCCACTCGTACTATTTAATTATTTCATTATTTGTATCAAAACTATTGATTAATTGTTTACTTGTGTTAATGAATTGTTTAGTGGCACCTTAATCTGGTCAAAACACTAATAGTTACGTAGTACCTGAGAAGCTATAGAATATGTTCAAATTTCTATAATTTAATTAGAAATAGAGAACATTATTGAAGAATATCAAGTTCCGCCGAATATAGCACGACTTAAGAAAATCTTTAAGTATGTACAAGCTCCTTCCTAAAAGGTAAACTAAACCACGAAATAAGATAAACCACAAGCCACAATGTTCCCACTCGCTTGAGCGCATGTACAAATATGATGCAAATATATATATCCCAAAATGATCCATATATAGTGAGTATAAACATTTTACTTAGCTTGAATCATACCTAAGTTGTTCAAATAAACAGGTATTAGTCATCAATGATGATCAAAATATGTTGTTAACCTCACATTCAATTCTCCCAACTTATCATAGAAGATCTCATCAAAGTCGATGCCCTTTTTCTGGTTGCATCCCAGAGGCTCCTAGAAGATCTCATCAAAGTCGATGCCCTCGGTTTTAGGAGCAGCTATTAGATGCAGCTTTATGGACTGCTGTCGGGCCTGACAGGTGGGGCGGGCAGGGCTTCCGCAAGGGCCCCCCTCTTCCCGGGAACGAGCGGAGCGAGAGCAAAGCAAGTTCTTGCGGTTGGATCGAAGAATCTATGGCGTGGTAGTTTCTTTCTGATCCAAACATTATTAAGGACATGATATGCTTGTACAAGAAAATACTTACATGTATTAATAAAGTCATTTATATCATTTCACATTCTAATTATAGGAATCCAAATATATATTCCATACATTCGGACATTTAAGTGTCCCATTTTTAAATTTAGAAATCCCACTCACATTATATATTATTTCTCTCTCTTCCTTTTGACCTACTATCATTTTATAATGTTCCTCCCTCTCACATTATACCTAATGGTCCTCATTCATGTTTCTCTCTCTAACTTTTCTAAATTTTTTATTTCTAATCATACCCACTCATATATTATTTTACTCTTTTGCCTAAAACTTTGTGCACACCACAATGGGACACTAAAAATAAAACGGAGGGAGTATATCATAAATACAAGTAAATAAATTCCCTTCTCTCTCAAAAAACTCTAAAAAAGAAAAAATACTCCGTATACCCAAGTTATGATAGAAAATGACTACTCGTAGTTTATAGTACGAACCTAACCCCTAAGAAGAAACAAGCAATTTGTCACTTTCTTGGATATACAAATATAAAAATACAGTCAATATATTTATACCCAGTTGAAATTGAAGGGATTTTTGACTATTTGGTGACATATTCTATATTCCATGCGTTTCATCAATTATCACTTGTATATGAATATAAGACCATTTTCATTTAATTTCTAGTCTATCAACTAGTTGAATTGACCGTTGAAAGTTAAAATACTACTTAGAAACTTTTTTTTTTTTTTTTTATTAATAGAATTTTAAATATTTTTATTGCCTTTTTACCCTTTTTTTTTTTTTTTTTTTTTGGAGGGGGGGTGTTTAGTACAAGAGTATATGACACTCTATCCAACCATTTTTTACTTTATGATACACACCTTATCAACCTTTAGAGTGAAGCTAGTGTAAGTTCATATAGTCTATTTTTTTATGAAATTAATGGTGGGGAAAATCACATTATTGTTGGTTAATTACAGAGTGGTATGTAATTTTTTTTATTACTCAATAGTCACTATGAGTCTATATAATTTTATTTGGACATTTTATAACTTAAATCAATTCCTACCAAAGCAATACTATTACTGTGTGAAAACGAACTTATACAAATGTTCTCTGAATTACTATCCGTACTCTATCTTGCTACTAGATGGACAACAATATTACATGCCCTGCAAAATTTGACTCAAGTTAAAGAAATCAAATAATGAGCTATCATTCAAAAAGTCATCTAATACCAATTGAATTAGAGAGAAACCACTCTTCCTTGTATTCAAAGCTTGAACAAGATGGATTGCGTTGATTTCAATAGATATCATACGTAGCTCAAACCTTTTTGACAATTGAACTCCATAACTCATTGCCATAGCCTTTGTAATATCGGGACTAATGGCGTCTGGCATGGTAGCTCTTCGTAGCAGCAATGACTAGCTTCCCTTCCTAGTCACGGGCTACCAAACCAAGCCTAACTCTCTCACCTTCAATACAATGAGCATCGATGTTTAGTTTGAGAATAGTTGAATATCATGATATGAGCGAGATCAAGTTAATAATCTTGGACATGTACTTGTGTAAATAATTTAAGTAAGTTCAACAAGAATAACATGATTTTAGTAAAAATAATATCAATTCAATAATAATAAGGTGAAGAAAACAAGGTTACTTGAAGGCATTACAAACCGAAATCAAATTGACATACATGTGAACAAAAACACCTTTCAATTGGCGATAAATAGTAAGCCGATTCCATTCTAAACCAATTGACGATAAATAGTAAGCCGATTCCATTCTAAACCAATTGACGATAAATAGTAAGCCGATTCTACCGTACTTGAAGATGATCCGGCTCGTATCAAACCGAACGACCACCTATACGGGCTATACCGAGAAGCCACGATCCACCAAATCCAACCCGATTAATACAAAATCACAACCTGCCCGCCATCGTGTCACTCAACACCGACATTCCCCCACTCTTTCTTCCTCCCCCTCTACCTCTCTCATTCTTCCCCAATTTTAGGGTTTCACTGATAACAATTTGGGGCTTTTTATCTTCTCCCCGAAATTCGCCATTGAATTGAGCTCGACCTCCAAATCCCTACCATGTCGAAGCGCAAATTCGGCTTCGAAGGCTTCGGAATCAATCGCCAACAAACCTACAACTTCGAACGATCTCAACAACAACCTCAACGCCTCTACACTCCTCCTTCTTCTTCGCGACCTCATGACCACCACGAAGATACCGATGTCGACAACATCGACTTCGACGACGATAGCAACAACGTTTCCGACGCCGGAAATCTCACCGGCAACGAAGAAATTGATCCTTTGGACGCTTTTATGGAGGGAATTCATAAGGAAGTGAGTGAAGCGCCCCCGCCGAAGCCGAAAGAGAAGCTTGATAAGTATAGAGATGATGATGATGATGATGAGGATGATCCAATGGAAAGTTTCTTGAGGGCAAAGAAAGATGTAGGGTTAACATTGGCTTCGGATGCGCTTCGAGCCGGGTACGATTCCGATGAGGAGGTTTACGCTGCTGCGAAAGCGGTTGATGCTGGAATGGTTGAGTATGATTCTGATGATAATCCGGTTGTGCTTGATAAGAGGAAGATTGAGCCTATTACTGCATTGGATCATAGTGAGATTGATTATGAGGCGTTTAATAAGGATTTTTATGAGGAGAAGCCTTCCATTTCTGGTAAATTCATCAGTTTTGCTTACATTTTTGTCAGTGGAGATTTTTAAGGTTGATGTTATTTTATGAATGTGCTAAATTAGGTTGATGAAAATTGTTGTGTTTGAGTGTGAATTAGGGTTAGAAGTTTTTACTAATAAGAAATTATGTAGGTTATGTGATAAGAATATAGTATTTGGTATTAATTGTTTGACTTCTTACATTTTTTATACTGTTTGCAATGTGGCATTCAGCTGAATTGCTCCATTTTCCTGGTCAAGGATGGCTTCTATTTATTTTTTTATATGAAATTAGCATTAGAAGCCTTTACTAATTGGGTATTTGGTTTTAATGATATGCCAATTTTTGTTTTTGAGGGACGAATGATAATGTTTTTAGTATCAACTGTATGATAATGGTCAAAGAATGAGGCATTTGTAGATGGGTTTGGAAGTCAGTCATGATTTGAGCTCTTCATGACCAAGACTCGTTTTTTGAGGGGGGAAATTCGTTTTTCTATATTATATTCCTGGCTTAGGCACTTTCCCTGTCCATTTGAGCAGCATTTTAGATATGGAGTAGTTATATTACTGACACTTTAGCTTTCCCTGGGAATATTTTTTTTGGAAAAGTTTGGTAAGGTTATCGGAGGAGCCTTGTTTGATAATTGAGGAATCAATGCCAGCATCTGTTGCTATTATGTGACAGTTTATTGTTTGCCTTGCTGTACTGTGATAATCTGCTATATTAGTATTGAGCTAACAATTAATTATTGTTTAGGAGCTAACTGTTGTATTTTGTACTTCGAAGATTGTTTGCATTGATATACTTATTGGTTTCTTTTTACTAGGCATGAGTGAGCAGGACGTCACAGAGTACCGGAATGCCTTGAAAATTCGTGTTTCTGGTTTTGATGTTCCAAGGCCAGTTAAAACTTTTGACGATTGTGGATTCCCTCCACCACTGATGAGTGCAATCACAAAACAGGGTTATGAAAAGCCTACCAACATACAATGCCAAGCTTTACCAATTGTGCTGTCAGGAAGTGATATAATTGGCATAGCAAAGACTGGTTCTGGAAAAACTGCTGCTTTTGTGCTTCCTATGATTGTGCATATAATGGATCAGCCAGAGCTGGGCAAAGGAGAAGGACCAATCGGAGTGATATGTGCACCCACCAGAGAATTAGCTCATCAGATATATTTGGAAACTAGAAAATTTGCAAAACCGTATGGGTTACGTGTGTCTGCAGTCTATGGTGGGATGTCCAAGCTTGATCAGTTTAAAGAACTCAAGGCAGGAGCGGAGATTGTTGTTGCTACTCCTGGGAGACTGATTGATTTGCTGAAAATGAAGGCATTAACATTGAAGAGAGCAACATATCTGGTGCTTGATGAGGCGGATCGAATGTTTGACCTTGGTTTTGAGCCACAGATAAGGTCTATTGTTGGTCAGATCAGGCCAGATCGTCAGACTTTACTCTTCTCAGCAACAATGCCCCGAAAAGTGGAAAAGTTGGCAAGAGAAATTCTTTCTGATCCTGTACGTGTTTCAGTGGGGGAGGTAGGCATGGCAAATGAAGATATAACTCAGTTTGTTCAAGTGCTTCCATCAGATGCAGAAAAGTTACCTTGGCTCTTAGAAAAGCTGCAAGGAATGATTGATGAAGGTGATGTTTTGGTATTTGCTTCGAAAAAGGCCTCTGTAGATGAACTTGAGTCCCAACTAGCACAGAAAGGGTTCAAAGTTGCTTCTCTTCACGGTGATAAAGATCAGGCTTCTCGGATGGAGATTCTGCAGAAATTTAAGGCCGGGATATACCATGTTCTTATTGCTACGGATGTTGCTGCTCGAGGTCTTGACATTAAGTCGATCAAGTCAGTTGTCAACTTTGACATTGCAAAAGATATGGATATGCATGTGCATCGCATTGGTAGAACAGGTCGTGCTGGTGATAAAGACGGAGTTGCATACACTCTTATCACACAGAAAGAGGCCAGGTTTGCTGGGGAAATGGTCAACAGTTTGATCGCTGCTGGCCAGAATGTGTCTGTGGAACTGATGGATCTTGCCATGAAGGTAATTGCGTTCTGCTTTCTTGTTACTATCTTTTTTTTGAATGCTTCCTTTGTATTCTTTGATTGTGGAGCAGTTGTAGCTTGAGATATGTAATTTTTTTTTTTTGAAAGTGCTTGAGAAACAATATTGTGTTACCGTGTTATTAAAAATCTTAAGGGTTTGTATCTTGTGGGTGACTTGGCCATTAATTGACTGGGGTTATCTTTAATACTGGTCTGACTGATCAGTTTGTTGTAGGATTGTGCTGTATGCTACATATTTATTAGGCATAGATGCTTTGAATTACAGCATTCTAGGATTTAAATAAGCTGTACCTACTTTGGAGTTATTTGAGTTGCTGCTCTCTTGCTACTGCAAAGTGGCAAACTACATTACCTGAATCACCTGTGTTATTACTTATTAGGCTAAGTTTTTTTTGTTTTTGCTGTTGTCTTTGGGCAATTCAAGCTATTTATACCTAGAGAGTTTCTACTGTAAGCATTTTGTTACCGCCACAATTTTGCAGCTCTTGGTTATTGAGCTGGTTTCTCACTATAGATAGGTGCATCAAGATAATGTAGTAGGATGTAAGCTTCATAGGATCCACTGCCTTAGCCCTTGATTAAATATCGCTGCAGAATCATGTGTTATTATTGATATAGCTTAGGAAAAGAATGTTTGCAGTTAGCCAGTTTTGCTTTCTGCATGGAAGAGTGGATTCTTTTGTGACTTATGTTGTCCCTCTTTTTTTGCTACGTAGTATTTGGAACTGTTGCTTGTAATACTATCTGTATGTTTTTTTCGACATTTATCTTATCTATTACTCTGTATCCTTAGGATGGAAGATTCAGGTCTAAACGTGATGCAAGGAAAGGAGGTATGACACTTGCAAATTTGCGGTCTTTCATATTGCTTGCTGATTTCTAGTTTTATGCTTGCCTTGCTACTTTTTATTTCTGGAATAATTTCTACAATATTCTTTGCAATTTACAAGTGTAATCCTTGTAAAAACTCATGCTGAATATTGAACCATATATTTACTATCACTAAATGGTGTTTCATGTATTCATGCAGGTGGAAAGAAGGGAAAAGGGAGAGGAGGAGGACGAGGAGGTGGTGGAGGAGGAGGTGGTGGTCGAGGTGTTCGTGGAGTGGATTTTGGTTTGGGCATTGGGTATAATACAGAATCCAACAATGCTCCCTCTCAAACTCCCAGTCGGACTGCTGCAGTTAATTCACTTAGGACTGGTATGATGGCACAGTTCAAGAGCAGCTTTGTGGCTGCTTCACCTGACTCTCAGAATCAGGCGACCAACAATTCAAACGTGTATGCCAACAAGCGCCCAGCTATGACTGGTTTTGTTTCGGGTGGTACCATAGGTGGGGACAGCAACAGACCTCAGGCAACCCCTACAACAAATTTCACTCCAGCACCAGGAGGGAGCATCGGTGGTCAGAATGCTGATCAGAAGAGCAATGAAAGGTGAGCTACTCTCTCCACTCCTTTGTGCATACTTTCATGGTTGGTTACCCTGTCCCTAATTAAAGAAATAATCCAAAATTTAAAATAGTGATCTGAGTGTTATGCCACTAAAAATTTATTACTCTGCCACTAATTGAATTTGTTAATTCTTCTTGACAGATTAGTAAAAAGTGACATAGTGATTTTGGATAGTAGTGATTTGTATTTGCTTATAGAACCCTAATTATTTTTCATTTTATGTTATTTCAGCTCAAGAGAAAGGCAAAGGGAAAGGCGAAGGCCCTCAGGCTGGGATAGATAGCAAAATTGAAGTCTATCATTGTATTCTGTAGCTTTTCGTACAAAAAACTGCTACATGTAACACTATTTTTTTTTTTTTTTTTTTTTTTTTACAGGAACACATGTAACGCTATTTTTACCTAGTATAATTACTATGAGCCTTCCCATTCGAAAATTTTGACTTCTACTCTGTTTTTCTGTAAAAAATTTCTGCTCCCAAGTTTCATGTTTCAGGATGCTGCTGTTAAGGAATTGTAAATCAGTTGCAAGCTTTTCCAAAATTCAAAAAATTTTGAATTCTACTCTGTCTGTAAAAATATTTCTGCTACTGAGTTTCATGTTGCAGGATGCTGCTATTAAGAAATAGTAAACCAGTTGCAGCAATCAAGCTTTTTTTATTCTGAATTAATGGGTTTCAACCTTTTTATGTGTGGGTTTACGGCATTTTTATGCTAGCTATTATTGGTCTAAAGTTGCACAAAATGTTCAATTCTTCATATACAGATTGTTTAATTTTGCTCGAAATATTGCTCATACATATGAATGATATGATACATTGTTTATGAGCAGGTTTTGGACTTTTGGTGAGACCCTCTTACATTGATTGTTCTTGAAAGTATATTTATTACTTATGAGCATTTTCAGTATAATTACCAACAATAAAAATACAGAATATGAAGTATTAAATGATGCATTAACCCCAAAACAAATTTCATCAGGTAATCTCTCCGTGTAATATGGAGTATTTATTGCGAATTTTCAAGAATCAAACATGCTTTACACTTACGAAAATTATGTACAATAGGAATTTTTTTTACATTTTCAATTTTTCTTTGTAACAAAAAACAAGCACTCTACTTATGTTCAGTTCAATGTTCATCACTCGTATATGAAACTTGAAAGTATATAGAAATAAAAAATACTCCTTGACTTATTCTTAACCAAAAATCATGCTTAAAAACAATCATCCAAAATAATAATCATGTTTTTATTTTGCTTTTTTCGGAAAAATACTAACAAATCAAAGAATCAGTCAACAATCAACAAGGTAGCTTAAATCGGCAGAACGGGCAAAAATGAGTCCTTTCAAGCCACCGTATGATACAATCCGTATGATAAACATGCAAGCAGGGTAACATTATCACTTCCGTCCCGACACCTAATTTTTCCAAACATATTGAACATTCTATCTCGTCTTCCACCTCCGCCACTCTCTTTCTTTCCAACCCCTCCACCACCGCTTCTAACGGCGGCGCCACCTCCATCTCCGCCACCGCCGCAACTCTCCGAACACCTCTCTCACTCTCTCTCCTCCCTGACTCGATCCTCCTCTGTATCGCCTCCGCTCTCTCCGGCGAAAACTCCTTCGCATCCAAACTTACCGTCACACAAATCGAACCTCTCCGATTACAACTTCTTCGCGATAATCTATCGACGAAGAAATCGAAGTGCGCCGCCATATCTGACCGAGTTGTTTCCGGAACCTCGAATTCCTGCAACGTATCAATCATCATCATCGATGAAGTTTGATTCCGAGGGATTCGAATTGATCTTGAAGATTGTGATCGTGATTGAAAGTTCCGATACCGGAATTCAATCTGGAAAATATCCTCTTCGCCGGCACACGGCGCCGCCGTGTCGTTTTGCACGACCGTGAAATCATACAGAGTGTTTCCGGTTAAAATCTTCATTGAAGAATCAATTCCAATTCCAACAATCAAGAATTGTTTTCCAATTATTGGAGAGAGAAAATCGAATGCTAAATCATGGTGATTGAAAGAAAATTAAAAGCTCTGCTATTTCATTATGGAGGAGAAAATTAGGTTTTCATTTTGAGATTAAAAAGAAAATTAAATTGCTGTTTTTTCGTATGTTATGTGAAGAAGGAATAGCTTTCCTAGTTATATAGGACTATAGGAGTGTTTACCGAAATTTGTGATTTGTTTTGGTATTTTTATTATTTTATATTAAGTGGTACGAAATGTATATTAATTAAAATTTAATTGGACAAGGAGGCGGCGAGCCTCAAACACATAAAACCCTACTCATGTCGTCTTTGTAATTTATTTTTTTTCTTTTTAATTTAAAAAAAAAATATTTTAAAATGTCTTTTTAATTTTTTGATTAGTTGGTCAGCTTGACTAACATTGGTGATAATTGGATTTTTTGTGGGTTTTAAAACTTGGGATGCAAGGAATTGAAGTACTTATGTTCATTGTTCAATATGATTTTATATTTTTACAAAAGGGAAATTAGATATTATTATTAGTATTATAAAGGATAGTAATTTAGAAAATACAAAAGTATAATCGTCAAAATACTCGTATTAAAACTGTTAAAATTGATACTCATATTACATAATGGATATTAAAATTGTGAAATTGATACTTTTATAAGTCTTTTTTTTTTTGAACTTGGTGTGCAAGGAAACATAAAGTTCTTGAATATTCTAATTTAAAAGCAAATACATCTTAATCCGTTATTATTCCTTAGCAATACGAAATATGATTATAATAGTAATCGTATAGAAGAACACAAGTACACAACTATGTGGCATTAAAGAAAATTTCAACCATCAACAACACAATCACACTACATTAAGTATACTAAAGACTTCTCTAAGACCTTGTTTGGTTGCACTTTAATTATGGGGGAAATATAAATTCATGGAAAATGTGTTTAAAAATAGTTGTTTGGTTAGCAACAATGTAGGAAGTGGAAATTCCTAAGAAATTTGGAATTCTTACAAAACATGGGAATTAATTTCCCACATTCTACCTTGGTCACTCAAACTTCCCACATGTATTTTGAGTGAAATTACATTATTGTCCTCAAAATTTTGGGAAAACAGTTCAAGTTATAATAATACATGGGTATTACATAAGTTAACCAAACAAAACATAGGAAACTAATTCATGGGAAATACGATTTCCTACATGTCAACCAAACACAATTTTAGTATTTCCTAGGCAATAAAATTTCCCATGTATTATAACTTCCTATAGGCTTTTCTTTCCCATATGCAACCAAACGAGGCCTAAATAATTTAACTACTTGTCCAACAACTGTAAGTGTCAAAGGTTAACAACTTAACATAAGAATGATAGAAGAAGATTCTAACTTAACATCAGAATGATATATAAAAGAAGATCCTCGAGGATCACAGTTTACACCGGACTAAAATCTTATGATCTAGGGCATTGTTTGGTTTTTGACATCCTGTTAATACCTTTCGAACCTCCTCGAGCAGGATCAGCGTATGGGCAGCCATCCAAACATGGCTCTTGCAAAGCACTATCATTTTCCAGTTGAGGAGGGGTAACCCCAAACTTGAACTGTCACATATGCATAGACAGACTCGTTAAAAAATAAAGCAACATCAAAATTAGATGATGACACACAGCATATATAAGATATGTACTCCCATGTTCAAAGAGGATAAGTATACATATTTACCCGACAACTATAATCTGTAAAATTAGGTTCCATAAGAAGTGGAATTCCCATGTGGTCCTTGAAGAAGGTCTAAGGCATATATACAAGAGTTGTTTGTTAGATGAACAAAATATACATCAATCAATTAATGTATGTATTTAGTTGTCTTATTCTTTTTTAGGTACTAAACTGAGTTGGAATTTTACAAGTATTAACACAAATTCCCACACATTTGCTTTCTTCCAAGTACTTGCATCTCTCTACCAAAACCTACAAAATCATACAACACCTTCAACAATCGATGACATTATAGACAAATTATAATCCAACATATATGTTCAACCAACCCCGCTCTGGCATGAAGATCCATCGCGAAGCTCAATAGTGTTAATCGAGCAAGGTCCCATGAGCCATTGACAGGTGAGTATCGTTACCCTGGCTTCAAGAACAAAGAAACTCTTGAGAAAGCAGAGGTGTAGTAGAGACTAGATACGTAGAAATAAACAAGGGTGCGTACGTAGTAGTGTAGCACTAGTAGTATTTTGAATGGTTACGTGAGTTAGGGAATATCACGTACCAACCATCATAGCAGCGAGTCTTCCCCCTCCAATCGGGGTTATAAGCATTCGATAAAGTTCCAGCAGGTATGGAGGGAATAGAGACTTGAGTATTCGAACCTGCCATCATAAAGAAATAAAGAGCTTGAGAAGGCATAGATAGTAGGAATACATTACAATTTACTACTATAGTAGAGCTCAGTATGAGTTGGGTAGGTTAATCTTAGGCTATGATCAACTTATAAGTTTAAAATTTACCTTACCAGTTACCATACATCTTCACTTCTCCCTTTATTAGAGGCTTAAATCTATGCTTATTTATGAATCCTAAATAAATCGAAATAACTGTGCATTTTGTAAATACGCGTAGCAAAATTCTAAATATATAAAAGGGAAATTCCCATTGATACACTCCAGGTATTGACTTTTCTCAGCGGTACCACATTTTTTTTTTGACTTCCTGCTGATACACTTGAGGTTTTGACTTTATAATTGACGTGATTAAGTCTGTTAATAAGACGTTAATAACTTATTTTATTCACATTTTAGGCTTAGTAATAGATGAAATGACTAATATACCCCCATTTTTTTAATCATTTCCCTCCAAAATTTCCCCCTTAATGTTGCTGTTATTTCCCTCCAACTTCCCAACCCTTATTCTCTCCCTATAAAACCCCACTTTCCCTCTTCTATTCTCCATAAAATTTCCCCTCCATTTTTTCGAGCTCACCTCTTCTTCTTTTCTTTTTATTTCTGTTGGTCCCTGCTGTTCTGACATGGCTGGTTCTGCAGGCAGTGGTTCCTCTTCTGGCAGCAGATTTGGGAGGTCCATGTGGGTGAGACGAATTCAATGCAATTGTAATCCACCAAGACTTGCTGATATTAGGGTGTCTGACTCAATTTCGAATCCAGGGAGGTCATATTACAAGTGCAGGCATTGTGGTTTGTTCATGTGGGTTCCTGAAGATCAAATTATAGCCAATCATGAAGAATCATCCAATTTGAGAGTATTAAGAGAGGAATTTATTGATTTCACAGACAAAGCATATGAGTTTGCAAGCTATGTTTATATGGTTGTTAGAATTGCTCTTGTGATGTATCTTATTTTACTGTTTGTAACCCTGAAATGAGCATTGTGTATTTAGTTGCCATGTACTTCAGAGACTAAGTGTACTAGGAACAAATTATAAAAGTAAGGTTGTATTTTCTTGGTTTTGAATGAAAATGGAAAAATAATTTGCATTTTGATTGAGTAAGGTTGTATTTTCTTGGTTTTGAATGAATCAATCATTGAGATCAACTAAAATTAACAAGCTGAACAAAATGGCATCAGTTGCCAACATTCATTAAAGTCTGGAAAATCATTCAAAATGTGGCCACCATTCTTAATATAGACAAAATGGCATAATTCTTCAACATTACCATGTAAGTTCAGCAAAAAAATTCAAAACATATAGAGTTGACTACAAATTTTGACTTTCTATCCAAATCACCAAAAAAAGCATTTGCTACTACTTTGCAAAACAGAACACTTGCTAGCTTTGAGAGTTTCCTTGAGACATCTGGATTGGTTGGCTAGGCAACTGTGAGGCTGTCAGCACTGTTTGTTGCTCAGCTGAGGGTCTACCCTTCTTTCCCTTAGTTTTTTTGGTTGAAGCTGCTGCTTGAGATGCTGAAGGTTGAGTTGCTGCAGACTGAGATCCAAGTGCTTCAGATTGCTTTGTTGCCTTAGCTGCCTTTGCTGCATTACTTTGGTCTCTGACCCTAGGGTTCTTGATGACAACAGACTCATTTGTCTTCAACTCTTTTCCTGTTAAGCCTCCCTTGTAGGTTGTCTTATTATGCCCAAAGCAACCACATTTGCTGCATTTCACTGTTTTGACCTTTTTCCAGGTTGCTCCTCACCTTCTTCCCTCTTTCTGTTCCTGCTTGGTCTTCCGATTCCCATCTTCATCTTAGGAGGCATGATGATTCTACCTGACTCATCTGCAGGCCATTGCTCTATGTCAGGAATTGGGTTGATACAGACACTGTAAGCTTGCTTATAAGTCTTCACAGAGTACCAGGAACTGACAAAGTCATGTGGGTCCAACTTGGCATCAATGCAAGCCCTAATGGAATGCCTACAAGGCACACTTGTCAGTTGCCATGCCCCACAAGAACAAACTTTCTTGTTTAAGCTGAGAGGAAATTGTGATCTTCCCTCATGAATTTCATATTCACCTGGGCTGGACTTGAATACTCTGCATTTTGAGCTAGCTTTTCCTATTTCTTTCACTAGCTTCACAATTTTTGGAGTTATGTCTTCATCATTCCAAGACTTTGCATTCTCCATTCTTGTTGCTATTCTAACCATACATACCCTCCTTATTCCTGCACAACATTATCTTACTTAGAAAAACAAACCAAATCAGAATAAAATGACAATGTTAATACAGTAAGAGGTGGGTTAATACCTTCTAGCAAAGTCAAAATAGGCCTACACCTATTCACCCCTAGAGTAGAGTTGAAGCTCTCTACAAAATTGGATGTATTGGAGTCATTGCAAACATTTGGGTCAAATGCATGCTTACTCCACTTAGTCTTCTCTCCCAATTCTGCAAACCAAGTCATGACATCATCTCCTCCTGCTTTCTGCAACTTCTCCATAGCTTTCCTGAATGTGAAAGCTGAAGAAGCATTGCATGCTCTCCAGAATAGAACATACATCATAGGGCCTGGAAATAGCTTCTTGTAGTTTCTACTTAGATGCCTACAGCAGAACCTCCTGTCAGCTTTTGGCCATACTTGTTCTAGTGCAAGTTCAACTCCCTGAAACAATGATTACAGCATGAGCATTTGTATGTTTGCATATAAAAAAAAAGAATGAAAATTTGAAAAAAGCAACAAACACTTGCCTTTTGCCTATCAGAAATAATAGTCCAATGCCCTCTTGATGAATCTTTTACAATGTTCAGCAAATGCCAAAAGAAGTAGGTCCATGACTGCTTGTCTTCTTGGCCAACTACAACATATGCTATGGGGAAGATCTCATTATTGCCATCTATTCCCACAGCAGAGAGCAATACCCCCCCCCCCCATAGTTACCTTTGAGGTGGGTTCCATCTACACCAATTAAAGGTCTAACACCCCTTAAAAGACCTTTCCATTGTCCAGTGAATGATATAAAAAGGCTTGAAAATTGAAGTTGTTTAGGGATAGACTCTGTTTCATTCCATGCACAAAAAGCCTTGGACTCTGGGTTTGTTTCTATGCACATCTTAGCATACATTGGCAGTAGTCTATATGACTCATCATGCCCTCCAAACAACTGCTCAATCACATATCTCTTTAACCTGTACAAGGTTGACTGCCTCATGTAGATGCCATATCTCTGAAAAAGGAGTTCATTGAGTGCTTTCCCAGGAATGTCTGGGTTAGCCCTGATGTCTTCCATGACTTTCTGAGATGCCTATTTCACATTGCAGATGGGGTTGTAAGTCTCTAAGCCCCTACAAGTGTGTATATTGGGCCATATTTTCTTGATTGCCCATGTTCTGCCATCTGCCAGTCTGCTGGCATGCAATCTCCAATCACAGCATTCAGATTGGCAAACTGCACTATATCTCTTGTTGTCAGCATACTCTACATTGATGGCAAACCTTTCTTGAACAGCAAAATCTTTCAGAGTGTCCTTGAAGTGAGCCTTGTCAGTAAAAATCATCCAAGGTCTGAGTGTTATTTTACCAAAGTCAGCATCCTCATACATCTCACCATTCTTGTACAATCTCTGAAAATAATCCTCATCATCTTCATCATCAAAAAAATCAAACCATTTTGATGGTTTCCAACTGTCCTTCACTTTTGGAATCCTAGTTACTTGTGCTAGCTCATCTGCTGGAATAAAACCTTTTGGTGCAACATCTCCATCAGAATCCTCATCTTCTTCACCAAGATTGAAACCAGGATTGGGTTGTGTCTCTACAGACTCAGAGCTGTCTACAACAAAAGTCATCTTTCTTCTAACTCTAGAATCACTTGTGCCTTGCACCTCACCCACATTGTCCCCAGCACTACTGCCCTCACTCATATTTACATTAACCCTAGAAACTGATCCTTGCAACTGACTCACTCTGTCACCAACACCTAGCATCCTTTTCTCAGTCACAATTGATCCTTTCACTAACCCCTTTCTTATAGTTGTTGATCTAGGAACCTTTTTCCTAAACATAGTTGTTTGTGAAGCATTTGTCAATGGGTCAGCATCAGAAGCATTAGGTGTGTCAGTTACTGCCAAAGGTGAAAATCTAGGACTCCTTCTAAGTGGTAAACCCTTGAAGACTGTGTTTGGAGACTTGGGAGATGGTGGTTGCATTGGGGATGTTTTAGTTGTAGCTTTCTTCTTACCCTTTGCTGCACCCTTAACCTTCCTAGAATTCTCTATCTTTTCCATACTTTTCTCAAACTCTTTTCTACCCTTGGTATACTCAGTAGCAGATCGATTTGTTTCATATTGGGGTGACTCATAACCCTCAGTATACCTAGGTGGAGAGGACTCATTATTAAGATTGATATCCTCAATAGAAAGGAGAGGTTCAGTTTGGGAAGGGTAAAAAAGGGGAGGTTCAGTTTCAGGAACAAGTTGATCTGTTTCAATTTGAGGGTGCAGTATCAGAAGGTTGATCAATATGGGGTGGTTCAGATTGGGAAGGTGCAGCAAAAGGTTGTGCAGATTTGGACTTGTTCCTTAGCCTATTGGTGATTCTATTCAAGGCACTTGGTTTCTTAGCAAAACCTACCCAAATCTGATAAATCTCACACTCACCTAGGGTGTGAATCATCTTAAAAAGATCAGCATCATCTAGTAAAGGGTGATTCTTTTCATTGAAACCATAACCAAATGATGGGTTGACTATAGGAAACTCAGAGTCTACTGCAGCAGTGTCCTCAAAATCCATAACCAAATCAAGCAAATTACATCTATCTAAGTCAACAGCAAGATCAACATGCTTATCAAAGTAATAAAACCTTAACACAACATCACCCATTCTGCAAAAGAAGGTAAACAGTATACACACTTACAACATGCATATAAATTCAAAATCATATCCAACAATCCACAACATTCAAATAAATTCCAAATTAGGTATCCAATTACCTATAACATGCACATAAATCCCAATTCAGGTATCCAACAATCAATCAAATAAGCAAATACATTCCAATTCAAGTAAATCAATGAAACAGGATCATGCCATTTCATCCAAATTAAATACATACTCTACATAAATAATTGAACACACATAATCACGCACCTAATATACCTGAAAAAAACCCTAAAATCGCACAAATATACAACATTTACATCATGAATTTAACTTAAATCGCAAAGAAAAAAGAACATCACAACTGCACCAAATCATGAAAAAATGAACAGTAGTAGTGCTAAAGTACCTGAATTGTGCTAGATTATCCTCTAATGATTTTGTAGACCAAAAAGATCAGCGCAATTCCCTTGCAAAACCCTTGGACTTCGTCGTGAATGATGCAGAGAGCAGAGGAGAGAGAGATGAAATTTGAATAAGGAGTTTGTTTTGTGTCAAATCGACATAAATGGAAGGGGAAGGGGTTTAATTATGGGTGATGGAGGGAAGGATTAAAAGGGGGCATTTTAGTCTTTTCACCTAATCTCAGCTTTTAACCTAGAATTACTAAGTTATTAACGTCTTATTAACAGACTTAATCACGTCAATTATAAAGTCAAAACCTCAAGTGTATCAGCAGGAAGTAAAAAAAAAAATGTGGTACCGCTGAGAAAAGTCAATACCTGAAATGTATCAATGGGAATTTCCCTATATAAAATAAGTAGTTTATAGTTTTAAGGGTACCAATTTTTTTTTATTTTTTTTTTGGTTACAATTACAGCCCAAAGAACTCGGCCTCATAGGGAGGATGAGAGAATTTTAGTGGAAGGCCCATTAGAAAAGTTTGGGCACCCTGTCACAGAAGTTATTTATAAATATAAAATAGACAACTTAAAGTCAACACCAAGCCTTCTTAGCTCAGTGGTAGAGCGCGTGGCTTTTAACCACGTGGTCGTGGGTTCGATCCCCACAGACGGCGTTTTGTTGTGCTTTTTTGAATCAACATAACTTTTCCTTTCCTTTTTGAACACTAACTAAATTTAAGCGTAGATATTTGTATTGTGTATTTGTGAAAATTATCAAAGTTGATATCTTGACAATAAATGAAGATGAATTCAATAAGATTTCACATGTCTAAAATTTTTTGATTTTTTCTTATGCATAGAACCAAAAAGAAGAGTTTGTGATTATTTAGTGTTTTAAGCGTAAAATACAAACTGTGACCATTATAACAAAGCTAATGGAGATTTGAAGAAAAAAAGAGAGGAGGGAAAGAGTTAATAAAGTCAAAATATGAATTATAAGTAGGCATTAGAAAATTGAGAAGTTTATGTAGTATTAATCCCAAATCTTAATCTTAGAAAACATAAAGCTACCTAATACAAGCAACAAAGCGCATCTAGTGTAGTGGTATCATAGTACCCTCCCACGGTACTGACCGGGGTTCGATTCCCCGGATGCGCAGTGCCTTCTTAGCTCAGTGGTAGAGCTCGTGGCTTTTAACCACGTGGTCGACGTGTGTAATTCAAACTTGATTTCCGTGATTCATATACGAATAGTAAACTGTGGTAACAAAGTTTTTGATCAAATGTGCTATAATTTTTCTTCACCTTAAAAGATGATTTCAGGAAAGTATCACTTAAGTTTTAGAAAAGATTAAGGAATGCACATTTACTATACACTCTAATACTGGAGCACACTAACACAAAATGTGTCTCATTACGCTCATGTCTCTCAGGTAATCATATCACAAATTAGCATACATGTCACGTGACTTGGTACACCCGAATATAATATAGAATAAAATAGCAGAGAAGTCAAAGGACAGTGAACACATACCGCTGCTTGATTAGTTTGCTGAGTAGTTCTGCCAAGCATTAGCCCATTTACAAGTTCCATCATCCCATCATAGCCTGCCTTCTCTGAATCCCAACCAACCTCCTATTATTTCATCACATCAACAATGTTTCATCCAAAAGGAAAAAAAAAATATACAATCCCCGTTTCTAAAAGTTTTTCCTATTTTGACTTGATTTTGCGAACAATGACTGTTTAGAGACGAAAAAATCACTTTTACCTCCACTAATTTCTTCCTAAATGAATCTAAAAAGAAACCATCTAGCAAATTGGGCTTGTATTCTGATCTAGCCCCCAATTTATCATCTTCTACCTGCTAAAAACAAAAAAGAAGTCAATGAACTATACTGATGAATTTTGAGAGTTGGGGAAGCTGAAATTCAAGATTTACCATTTTGGATGAGGATGATGAAGAGCAGGAAACATGAAAATTTCGGGTTTTCGAGTACGATTTGATGGGGAGGTATTGATTTGAGGAGTGAGAAATTAAGTATGGAGGATGTTGATATTGAAGAGGATGGAAATTGCTCTGCATTTTTCCAGAAATTTCAGCTTAATTTTTCGAGTAAAAAGAAACAAAGAAAATAATAAAAGGACTGGCTTTGCTTTGCTGGCCTTATATATACTCTTCACTATAAGATAACGAATTTTTAACTGCTTTTAGCGGGTTACCATAAATTTTACTCCTTTTCTTTTTACCCTTTTACAAACTTAAAGGTTATAAATACTTCGTATTTTCTATCAAGTCCTTCATTCATCATTAATTGTAAGCGTAATTAAGTAATCACGGGTGTGAAATAACAATCTTATAAAATCAAAAGTGAACAAAAATTAAGTAATAGAAAGTTAGTACGTGTTGACCCTCTTGGTATTTTGATGATTGACAAACAAACAAGCTTTGACTAATGGTGTTTGATATCTTTGGTAGAATGAAAAGATTCAGGCGATAACAATATCTGTTCCGGAGTAGGAGCAACTAAATTGGAAGTTTCGGATATTCGTATGCAAGCTTTCAAGATGAAGAAGACAAATTCCAATCCTTAGTATTCACTGTAAGCACTAGAGTTTTTATGTGCAGAAAGGAACTCAGTAAGGAGCTTAGTGTTCAGTAAGGAACTTAATGTTTTAATCAGAAAATGTTTTTAACGTAAGACTTTAAATCAGTTTTTATTCCTTAATTAAAGGATAAAATAAAATCAGTATTTAAAGAGATATATTTTCTGTAAATAAATAAAAGATAAATAATTGTTTAATTAAAAGATAAGTTTGTTATTTTTAAATTAAATAATTATTTAAAATTTTATCTTTTTAAATAATAAATATCTTTAACTGATTATTAGACTAAGTAAAAGTTGTACCTATTTTTAAGGAAGCCATTGAATGCTTGAGAGAAAAGTCAGGGAGACCATATTCCTCACTCCCTCAACGTTCACTTTAACTCCCAAAGTTAAGGTGCACGTGAGATCATGGGAGGAGTGGGGACATGGTTGAAGCTTCTCATCTCTCTATAAAAAGCATGCAACAGATTCTGATTTGAAGTACAACAGACAACAACGAGAAACATTTAGTTCATTGAGCTTAAGTTTTCTAAGAGCTTTCACGTTCAATATAAAAGAGTGATGAGTTCCTTTCTGTCATAATCTTCTCTAGTGCATTAGGAAAAGTCTTGTAATTACTTTTGTAATTTGGGATTGGGGTTTGAGAGAGTTGTAACTAAGAGATTTGAGTGAGTCAGAGTTGTAAGTGATTCAGAGTCGAATCATATAAGAGAGTTAAGCTGCGGTAGAGGGACCGTAGTTGGGATCCTTGAGTTCCTAGAGGAACTTGAGTGTAGGCAGAAGTTTCACCTTTGTAAAAGAGTCTTTACATAGTGAAAATATTCGAAAGCCTATATCGTGTATTCTCTCTTTTCTTACATTGTTCAATTCCGCAAAAAGTTCACTATCCTCTATATACTACAATTCACCCCCTCTTGTAGACATCGTACTATCAATACGAGTCATGTACAACACCAAAAAAAAAAACAAGAACAAGGATGCTATTTACTAAAATTATAGCGTATGAAATAAGACTATCATATTAGACAGATTCGACCATCAATGGCCCTCAGAAACAAGAACAAGGATGCTGTTGTGTTTACATGACACGATTATCGTGCAGCAGTTGAACCTGTTTGGCTCGGGTATGATGGCTGTCAGTCTACAAACAATACTGATAGACCTTGCTATGCATCTGGCTACTGCAACAGCTGCGTCAACAACCAGTGGTTCTGCTGTCTAGCGACTGCAGCAAGCCAGCATGGCTGATTGCAGACTGGTACAAGATTGCTGTAATTTTGCTAGGTACAAGTACATGACAGGAAAACTAGTGTGCCTAAGGTGGAAGAATCATACAGCTCGAAGGCCTCAAACCAATAAAAATAGTCTGATTAGTTATAACGTGAATAACACTAACGTGAATAACAAAGAGATCAATATATAACTAAACCAACGATCAGTCTCAGCATAGCTTTCACACTTAAGAGAAAAAGACATAAGAGAAAAAACATCAATATCCTGCTTCATATAGAGTAATATGTAGTCATGTACAACATTCTACATATTGATGCGTTTCTTTAAGCGAGAAAGACGAATAATTTAGTTAACGAAGATAGTGCTCTATGTTTCTTGCGTGAGTATTGAATATTTGGCCTTAAATTTGTAATTTTGGTGGCTATGTGTTTGATTTGTAAGTAACGGAAGATATGAAGATTATTTTTTTTATTTTATTTTTTTGATTCAAAGGAGGCAAGAACACCAAAGGCAAAAGAAAAAAAGCTAAACAAAAAACATTAAAACTACCTACGGAGGGACTAAACGTGGTATAGCCACGCCCTTAGAATCCTCCTCTAAAGTACGATTAAGCTCTATCGGAACTACATTATAAAAATCAAGTTGAGAGTGTTGAATAACTCCGATCTGCGGTTGGCCAACCAATCCGCTGCTCTATTTCCCTCACGGTAGACATGAATCACCTTGACCTTCCATTGAGCATCATTAAGCAGCTCGCTTCTGACACTAATGAATGTCGTGAATATTTTCACCCCGTGACACCACCTGTTTTTGAAGAGCTTGAACACATGCTATATTATCTAACTCTCTTCATAGCTGACCTGAAGAAAAGCCATAAAATCAATCGGCATCTCATCTCTTCTATTGAAAACATCTTCAAACCCACCATAAGTTTATGCCAAAGTAAGTAACCCAACTCTCTTCATCATCTTGGTCCGGATCCTTCAAATTCTTTGTGATCCATTCTTGATAGAAACGTTGGAAAGTCCAAGGCAGCAAGGTTTTCCTCCAAACAACTCTCGCAGCAGGGCATTTTCTTAATATGTGGATCGTGCTTTCTTCATGTGCACCACAGATGTAGCATATAGGATCATCCGTCATCTTCTTTTTGAAACGATTTAGATTGCCTAGGAGTCTGTCATGACAAGCAAGCCAAATAAACGCCCTTATTCTTTGCTGAACCGGAGCTTTCCAAATTGCATCCCAACACTCTCCCCCTTGACTCGGTGGTTTTTGCAGCAGCTCCCATGAGAGGAGGTGAACCTTCCTTCGGTCTTCACTCCCTCCCCAAATAAATTGCTTCGTTTTTCTATCAATCGAATCACATATGCCTCGAGGTATCTTGGCCGTCTGCATTAAGTACATAGCCATGGCGGAAAGAGTGGATTTTGCAAGGGTCATTCTGCCAGCAAGTGAGAGGTATTTCGATTTCCATCCGAATTTTTAGACAAAGGTGGCTATAAGTCTCCTTTGTAACTCTGCTTGTAAGGGTCAACATACCCAAATACATGCCTAGCTTCCATTTGAAGTGCCGCGCTTATCACTTGCTGCGATGTTTCATCAACATTTTTAGAGTAGTAAACCCTTGATTTCGCAAGACTCGCCTTCTGCCCCGACGCTTTACAAAATCGAGTCAAACAATTGTGAATCACCTCCGCTTGTTATACACTCGCCTTCGCAAATAATATTTTGTCATCCGCAAAGAATAACTTCAAAAGAGCAGGTCCATCATGACTTGCGCGGATCGGTTTCCACTTTCCAAGAATGATTGCTTGTTCAATGGTTTGGTAAAATCTTTCCATACACAGACAAATAAATATGGAGAAAGTGGATCACCTTGTCGAATGCCACGACTTTGTTTAAAACACTGAGACGGTTCACCATTCCATAGGACTTGAAGAAAAGCCGATGTTATGCATTCCATAATCACCTCAATCATGTAAATTGGTAAACATTTGAACCATTGTGTATAAGAGTGATAAAGGTCTCATTAACATGCTCCGGCAAGCCTTTCCCTTCAAGAATTGGCATGATCGTTTTATAAACTGTGTCCTCAATTATTTCCCAATTTTTTTGGTAAAACATTACCACAAAATGTGAATAAGCAACACATAATACACAATGGTTAAGTTACATAGGCGATCTCTAGAATTCTATAGATCGCCTATGTGGTTTTTTATGTGAAAATTATAGAACGCCTCCCTTAGTCAACGGTTCTATTTAATATATATCAAAATTTTACACTATACAATATAGAACGCCCCTCTCCATTAACCGTTCTATATGTGTTTAACATAATTAAAAATAAATATAAAAAACAAAAACAAAAACCTAACCCTAACTCTTTCTCATTCCTCTCCAGCCGTCCCCTTCACTTCCCTTCTCACTCTTCATTCCCTTTTCTAAGATCTAAAACTCCTTACCTCAATCCCATAACTACTCTTACTCCCTCAACCACCATCAAAATTAATCACCACCACCATCATCATAGATCGGCAACAACAAGCTGTTGTACCCAGTACCCACCAATGCTCACCCACTACAGCCCCACTTCTCGTAACGGCCACCAGCGGCCAACAAGCTGTTGTACCCCGTCTTGCTACTTCGTGCTCCATCCCACGACATTGGCCACCACTAGAGGTGGGCAACGTGCCGTGCTAGGCCGCCGCGGGCCGTGCTTCGCCGTGCCTGATGGTGGCTCGTACCGTGCCGTGCCTGCATCTTGGCGTGTCGTGCCGTGCCGAGCCACCATTTAGCACACCCTAGCCCACGACACGACCCACGTGCCTGGCGTGGCGTGCCGTGTTAGGCACCGGGCAGCCATAATTTTTTAATTTTTTTTAACAACTTTTATAATGGATATACTATTTAAATAATTTTATAAATTATGTTTATGTTTTTTATATTATTATATTATTATTGTTCTTTTTATTATTATTATTATTATTATTATAGTTCTTTATTATTATTTACGTTATTTTATGGCCGTGCCTGGCGTGCCATGCTGGTGGGCCAAACAACCTGCCGTCCGCGGGTTCGTGCCAGATTTCAAAAATCTTGTTCACGGCACGGCCCACACCTCGCTCACTGTGCCGTGCCGGGCCAATCTCGTGTTGGGCCTGTGCCGCCCGCGGGCCGCCACGGCCCATGCCCACCTCTAGCCACTACCCAGATCGAACACTACATAACATAATCGACTTCCCTCAGACCCTTACTCGCCATTGCTGCACCGCATCTCCCTCATACCGGATCGAACACTACATAACATAATCGACTTCCCTCAGACCCTTACTGGCGTTCCTTCTCTTTCCTCTCAAGCTAGCTTTCGTCATTCATCAATTCGTGTTTTTGGTGGTATTCATATGATGATTTTTATCTCTAATTTCGATCCAAGTTTTTGATATTATTCTAATTCAGATTTCTTATTTTAATTTTGAAATTTTGTTTTCTCAATTATTATTTTAGATCTCAATTTGTTATTCTTATCATTTGTTGTTTTACATGTTTTTCAGATATTAAAGTGGAAATTTGTTGGACAACCGCAAGCTTGACACAATTTGCATTGATTTTCTTCTCTAAATCCTCAGTTGTTAGCACATTCACAATTGATTATTAGTTGTATTAGAGAACTTGTAAATGTTGTAATGTAATTTTTTTCTTTATGAATTCAGTTACTTCGTATTATTGTAATTGAAATACATGTATTTTAAAGTTATTGTTATTGTGATTTATTTATTATTTATTATTATTTATTATTATTTTATTGATATCAATAATAATAATTTTTTTTAAAATAAATATGAGGAAAAGAGAGCGCCTATCAATGTAGGCGTTCTTTTTTTATATCACTATAGAACGCCTATCCTAAGATGACAGCTCTCTTTTCCTTGTTTTTTATTTACTTTGTACCTAGAATATGAAGCGCCTATCAGTAGACTTTATAAGGCACCCCCCCAAGAAGAACGCCTCTAAGGCGTTCTATATTGCTTGTTTTAGGCGTTCTGTATTCCTATTTTTGTGGTAGTGAAATAATGCTTGAAATCCATCGGGGCATGGGGCTTTTAAAGCCCCTATCTCTTTTACTATACATTCAACTTCATGTTTTGAGTAAGGTCGAACCAAAGCACACCACTCTTGCATAGGGAGCTTGGGAAAAATATCTTCTGGAAAATCAAAACTCACTGGTTCCCCTATTTCTTCAAAGAGCTTTGAGAAATACTCCACTATATGATTTCGAATCTCCAATTTATCATGCATCCAGTGATCCTCATCCCTTTTGAGAGCTTCAATTTTATTTTTCCACCTTCTTACGATCGTGCTAAGGTGGAAAAATGTCGTGTTCCTATCCCCATGTCGAAGCCATTCAATACGAGATTTCAGGTACAACAAAATTTCTTCACGTTCTAAAATTTCATCCAGAGCTCGTCTTAATTTTGCTTCTAATTTAATGAGACCTCGGTCAACCTTAGCCACAAGTTTTCGTAACACCCCAAATCTCCCTCTACGGAAATACTAGTATAATACGTATTTATACCATAAAGATAGACTTAGGCGTATTACCGCCGCGTGATTACGCAAGTCTACCAAAACTACTAACCAAACCAATACTTTGCAGCGGAAACTCAAACTCTTTCTTTATTAATAATAGCTATAAATAGAAACCATTGTCATGAGTACTCATAAATAAACAAAGACCAACATTCCTAAATTAGGTGAAGCAAATCCCGGGACTCACATATGCTCATTCATGACTCCACCTGAAAATAGTCAACACTGCTTACCATTACGGTAAATAGGGTGAACCAAAACAAATAGGAAATACGGGTTAGAAAAATATGCTAAGTACGATAAGTGCAAGATAAGTAAATTCAATTTATTTGCAAACATGCTTTTAAAAACAATTCCAATAATTAATCCAATGAATTCCAAAACTCATGTTTCAAACCAATTCTCAATAATTCAATAATTCGATGAAACGATTTATCAAACCAATTCCAATAACCCAATAATTCAATAAAACCAATTCCTCTTTTTAAAAACCAAATTCCTCTTTTGAAAACCAATTCCTCACCCAAGTGTGCACACCCCCCAAGTTTGTCACCTACTATTTCAAGGCTATTCTTGAGGAAAGACTCGGTCATACAAAGTCCAAAGTCTTATCAACTAAATCCGTATAGTGGGATTAGTAACATGCTTGTAAAGCTTTAATAATAATAATTCAATAAAATTCCTCTTTGAATAAAATCAACCTTTATAATAGGTCAACTCAAAAATCCTTTTTATTTAATTCAACATGCTTTCAAAATCAACCTTTTAATAAATACTTGAGAATTAAATCTCATATAAATATTTTTTCAAAATCAATAACTCTTCCTTTGAAAAACCTTTTTAAAAACTCTTTAAAACCATCTAACATACTTTAAAACCTTTAAACATAATAAATAAGTTCAAACCATTCAAAACATGATATTAAAATCAATCCTTTAAAAATACATTTATTAAAACAAATATGATATTAAAATCAATCCTTTAAAAATACATTTATTAAAATCAATACCTCCAAACATACTTTATTTCATAAATCATGATTCAAATCAATTTAATTCAATCACCAATAAAATCATATAAAACATGCTATTCAAACCAATCACTTTCGAAGGTATCTAGCCACCTAAACGTACCTTGATTCCGAATATATATCAATCAACACTTAGCCCTTTCAAAGTTCAATCACGAATACACCTTGCAATTAACATAACCATAAGGTTATCACAACATCAATAGACATAAACCCAAATCTAATGTGCATGGACTATAAAACTCTTTTAAAAATAATACTTTAATATAAAATTATAACTTTGAATTAGGTATTTATATTTTAGAAAACTAACCGTGAAGAAAATAAAGGAATGGGATTAAAGAAAATTGAATTTGCGTTAGAAAGAATAGGCAGAACTTGCAGAGGTCATAACTCCGAATTGGGTGATTCTTGAGCCTAACCTCAAGGATTTTTTGAGAGGAACAATTTTTCTTGAAATAGCAAAACCCCAAAAGTGGCTAGAAGTGCCCGAAAATTGGATCCAAATATATACGGGCAGATTTTCTTTTAGAAAAGAGGAGAAGAAAAGTAGGAAAAGGTTGAGGGAAAAGAAGAGTAAAAGAGAAGAAGAGAATTGAGTTTTTGGTGTGAAGAATATGAGAGACATGAGGGGGTATTAATAGGCTAGCTCATGCAAGAATTATGGTAGAGATTGTAGGAAGAGTTATGGAAAAAAGAATTAAGGAATTACTTGGAGAAGAGAATGGAAGAAATATGGAAAGTTTTGATATTAAGGTGATTAAGAATAATAGAATTAAGGATAGTGTGTTGTCATGAAAAATAATATGGCAAAAGAGATTACTTGGGGGATAATCAAGGAAGATATAAGGTAGGAAAATAAGATGATCAAATATTTAGGAGATGGAGAAATAAAATTAAGGAAAATAAGAGATTTTAAGGAGATAATTAAAAATACAATTTTCCAAAATAAATCACCCAAAAAATATTGAGCTTCCATAGCTCAAATTTTCGGATCCTATTAGTATATTTTAGGAAGTTATTTTGCTAGATTTAATTAAAAATAATCGTATAAATAATATTTATTGTAAAAAATAATTAATTAAAAAGATACCAATTATTCACTAAATAAATTAACCTAGAAAACCAGATTTTCCACACTAGGAAAATCCGAAAATCTTAGTCAATAATTAGGAATTTTCGGACATGATTAAATAAATAATAAAATATAGTTTTGGTATGCTGTCTTCCATAGAAACTGGTACAGATGGTAAAGACGAGACATAAGCTAGCCTCACATGGTGTTTGAGACATGGGTGCACTCGATTCATTTCTCACTGGTTGCTTGTGAATGCTTGTTCATGGCCTGCGTACTAGCTTCTTTACTGGCTTCAAAGGAGAATTGTAAATTTTCTTTTCCTTGCTTAGGTGGAGCAGTATTTTTGGAAAAAATATTCTCCCAATTATTTGTGCTATCTTTTAAGGGAGTAGAGATAGATTGGGATCCCACTTTTCTTTTTTCTTGGTAGGATTTCATAGGATTTTTTTATTTTTTTTTGATTTGGAATATTGTTGACCAGAAGATATATTATTTACCTTAAAAGTGGTTACTATATCTTCTTGTAACTTAAATTGCTGTGAAGAATCTCCTAAATTGATTGTGCTAATATTGCTTCCATCTTTATCCTTCGAAAATTCAAAAATATCCTTTGTTTCCTAATTTTTATCCTAAAAAATCTATCCTTTTTCCTTAGTTTGCGAGTCAAAGATAACAAATCTAGAACCACTCCCTTGTTTATCTCCTTTCGAATAATTATTGTTATTCTCTCCTAAATTAGCTCCCACCTTGTTGGGCCCATCAGCCACCTTAGCACCACCAGAACCTTCTTTCTCCACCTCTGCTCCAGCTTTGTCCGGTCTTGGATTCCTTTTTCTGGTTGGTTTTTTTCACTAACATCCACGATCTAAAGTCTTCATTCTCCTCCGGCTTGGCAACTTGATTATGCAGGCAGTGGCGGATCCAGGATTTCCGAGATAGTGTGTCACCATCAATTATTGATCATTTGTGAAAGTACAATTTTTTTTTCCTATGTCTTATTCATAATTAATTTCAATCCAAAACTTATATATATAAAATATATATATATGTATATATACATACATATATATGTATATATACATATACCAAATTGATTTCAATCCAAAAATAGGACACAAAAATTCATATCACAACCAATACAATACTTAAGAATTCAATTTTAGAAGTCGAAAATACTACAAATAACATGTTATAAACCAATGGTACAATAAAATTATTACATTGAATTAACTTTATGATTTTTTAGTTAATTGATAAGCTTTATGGGGAAATATTAAAATTGGTTGTACAAATATAAGATATAAAAAGGGAAAAAAATTATTAAAAAATTATACAAAAAAAAGTGAGATAACTTAAAAGACCAGTTATTAAATATAACTGGTCTCTTTAATGAAAAAGAAAGTAACGCAAAAAAATTGTGAAATGCAATAGCAGCATCAAAGAGACCTCTTATATAAATAACAGGTCTCTTTAATATATAAAAAAAACACACCAAGTCTTTTGTAGCAATAGCAACATCAAAGAGATCTCCTATCTTAATAAGCGGTCTCTTTGATATTGTTTGTTGTTACCACTAGCAGCATCAAAGAGGGCCAAGGTAAGGGCCTGTTCATAATCCCTATTCAAATTACTTGCTTGACTGATTAAGGTGGCTTTCCTCTTGTTGCAGTCACTGTGGCGGATACAACAGCTTCTGAACGACATTCAAAATCTGGAAGTCTCCTTTTCCGAGGTCAAGTGCGCAAGAAAAAAACGAAAGTAGGTTGGTTGGTTGAAGGCCCATCTCGCTCTTTCCTTTCTTCGGTGCTACCTTTTTCTTTCAAAGGGGACCGATTCACTCTGCGTAGATTGACTGAACGCAGAAAGCCTTCTGGTGAATTTCATCAAGTAAAAGAGTCTCAGTGTCGGCACCCTATCTATAATAAGGGGTCTCTTTGATATTTTATTTTTAAAAAAAATACTGTGTCACCGGACCCACTATGACTAAAGGTGGGTCCGCCCCTGTATGCAGGGGGTTATGATGGATAGTCATTGCATTATGTTCCCCCTCCATGTGACCTAAGGTGCATTCATCTTTAACATGGCCTAATTTTCCACATTTAAAACAAACCATCCTTATACCTTCATATTGAACTCTCCAAATACGCCCTTTTAGCCAAAATTTTGACAATAGTGGTTTGGATAGATCAATTTCTACACTTAGCCTGGTTAATTGATCACGCTCATGAGCACTAGTTTTATCCACCCTTAGAACTTTGCCAATCTTCAACCCAATTTTATTCAGAAAATTGATATCGAAATATTCTACAGGGAGATTTGGAATCCGAACCCAAGCTGTGAGAACTTTAATTGGTGCTTCATCAGGTACAAAATTTGGTACCCACTTCCTAATTGTCAAGTAATTGTCATCAAGAAGCCAAGGTCCTTGTGTGAGTACATAGTTATAATCAGCTGGATTCGAGAACTTTGCTATGTAGTAATTGCACCCTATATCAGTAAGCGCAAGTTCCCCTGTGATGTTCCATTTTTTCTTCAATCTACGCATAAGTCTCATGTACCCTAATGTGCCACTAAACATCTTGATGATCAGGGATGTTTTCCACGGCCTGCGTAGTTTTTTGTTCTCCTCCTTTGACAGACGGATAACTGGGCATCTTTCATCACTTAAGATGTCTTCTGAAATGTCTTCATCGTCAGAGACGTCTTCATCTTCATCGTCATCCAGAAGGCTCAGGCTATAGTCACCATTTGCTCGAGAAGAGTTTCCCTTTAGCATGTCTCTGAATGAAAAACCATTGTCTTGAATCTAAGGGCTTTGATTCAAATTTCTTCCTATCTCAGCCTCCTTGGGTTACCAGATCCCACCATGGCTACATCAGTCATAACTTCATCAGTACTATCATCATTATTGAAAATCGAATGTGTTACGTAGTATTTTTCTTTTTGGTTTCTTATTTGAACAATCAATTTGATCTCTTTCTTCCAGGGGTTCACCATGGTTGTTTTCTCGGTTTTCCATTGAGAGAATTTTTTTGTATCGTAGATATGAAGATTATTAATCTTTCTCGGATTAATATTCAACTAGGATTTGCTTTCTCGGGTTAATTGCTCGTCTTCTCACCATTCTCAATAAATCAAAATTTTATTAATCTCCAATGAATAAACTGAATATTAACATTGATTATAAATAAGCTAATAAAATCTAAAAAGATATCCTAGCTTAATTATAATTCTATCCTAGTAAAAACTCTTAAAAAGAACTCTATCTTAAGGTAACAACCTAAAAGATAAAACTCATGACAATTAACAAAGATATATCGTAAGCCTAAAACAAGAAAAACCTTCCCAAGTGAGAAATAAAAACTTGTAGGCAAATTTCTAAAATTAACAACTATGAATAACCCAACTTATTACGCATCACTACAGTCATAAAAACGAGAACATCAACATAAAACCAGAGAGAAATTGTTAGAAAAGACACTACAAAATTTTTGGATACCATTTCACTTTATCGTAACTTAATCTGAGAACTAATTTTCTCAAAAATTTATTGACCAGAAAAGGCCGTCAGCAAAAGTTATAATTAAAAAACACTGAATAAAAGAATAATGTGGTCTATGTTATTTCGACTCTTCACTTTTTCTAACATACCAATTTTAAATACCATTACAACTCTACAAGACACAAAGCTGTACAGTTATTGACAATGCCGATTCTCACAGCAAGATTTTAAATATCTTAGCACTGAAATATAAAGATAAGAACAGAACGTGGGCGGCACCTACAGGCTCCAGCCAATGGCTGGTGTAGATCATGAAACTGACTTGAGAAGAAAGAAGTACCACAAGCACCACTGAATGACTACCAAAACTCCAACAACATTGCATCCCAAATACTCATCTCCCTCCTTCATCCATCCGTACATTTCCCTCTTCACTTATGTGTGTGTAACCGTAGGCCTGTAGCCATTCTACGGCTTTCCACCACTACTCTTTGGCTATCCTCTAGAATCCTACCGCCTTCTTTGAGTTAAATGAGCTGCTGGACTTGGATGAATTGGTGCTAGACGGCTTATAGAGCATATTGGCAGCAGTCCCCAGACAGTCACACCAGGTCCTCCTGGTCACCAACTACCTCCAAATACACTTCGTCAGGGTGCATTCCTAATCCAGCATTCTGATACAAATAAAGTTAAGGGGTTAAATGGTTGTATTAGCACAATGATTAAATGATCATATCCAAAATTCTATCACTACTTTCACAGCAAACACATTCATACAGTGTGGCCTTATGTGGATCTAGAGTGACACAATCGACTATGCTACTTTTGAAAATTTTCTTAAGTATGCACAAGCAATACCACATTAGACAATATCCAAAGTTTAGAGAAGAAAATACGGAAAAATAAAGTATAACATACTAATTGATATTCGCCACATTAGAAGAAATAAGGTTCAGCATCCAACAAAAGCTCAGATATACAAACAATGCAAGGCCTTAGAACACTTTCGCCTTGTTTGGATAGGAAACAAGGAAGGAAAGGAAGGGGAGGGATAGAAGAGGAAGGGAAGAGAGAAGAAAGGGAGGGGGAGGTGAGCTCCATTTTCCCTCCAAATCTCTCCAATTTTGGAGAGATTATGCTTATTAAAGAGAGAGGGAAAATGGATCCCTCCCTCTCCTTTCCCTTCCTTCCCCCAATCCTTTACCCAAACAAGAGAGTTTGTCCCCCACCCTTTCTCTTCCTTTCTTTTCCTTTCATTTCCTTCTATCCAAACAAAGTTTTTTAGATTATTGGACTTGGAACAGGTAAAGTGTAAAATTTACTCACTCCTGTCCGTGTTGACTAAGCACATAGCAGAATCTACAAGAAAGAGTAGTATAAGATAGCAGACGCAATGCTTGGGATGGGAATTGAGACACTACTGAATGTGAAGTTGCATACTAGCTGATGAGAGATGACATACACTTCTTGCAACTAATAGTCAAATAATGAGAGTCACTCTCACTTTTTTCTAGATGAGAGATGACATACACTTCTAAGAATTAATAGTCAAATAATGAGTTTTTCACTAGCAACTGGAAAAAAAAAATGATTTATGTTCTAGGACTTCTAGCATAGTCCTATAGCACATCAAAATTCAGCTGTGAATCCAAGTAGATATTACACATCAAATTTGAAAAATACAAGAAAAATCAACCTAGGGTTTCCTGTTTGGCACTCACAAATTAGTGACCAATCAGTAGTTGCAATAACATGTATAAAAGTCGCAAATTTCTGGTTCCGGTAACCTTCTCCGGTCTTTAAAGCCACTTTCACATTTAGCAACTGTCTTTTCAGTACCAAAAAATAAAATGGCAATCGAAAACTGTGGTAGCAACATTTTTTTTGAGACCTGGTTTTAGGGTCATTTATTTATGGTTGCTGACAGTTACTAATATTAATCTGCTCACAGTGCTCAATGTTTTTTATAGTGAGAAGATACAACAATTTATAGTTGCTCAGCAAAGTGACAAATTAACAAGTACTAACATACATTTCACTTCATCTAGCTGCCAGAGATCAAATCCATACCTTATTATGGAACAGACATCCTAAAATAAATAAAGAGCTGACCTTCACAATATACTTTGCTCAACTGACTATCCAAATAGAATCTAATCATCCAAATACAACCTATAACTTTGGCAGATGGCCCGACCTACCTGCAGCCAAAACACAATAAGGCACTGGACACAAATACTCTAGCCATAGTTGCCTCACTAACCTTTAAGAAATACTCCAGATTCAGTTCACTTCAAAGATGACTCTTTCACTTTCCACCTAACACACCACATGTCCCCTGGCTGCTTAGATAGTCAGCAAATTGGCAACCATTCATACACCGTCCAAAAAAAAAAAGGTTTAATAGGTCCTACTCCGCTATGTATACAGGGTCTCAAGTCAAGAAAAGGCTTCATCTCATTCTTGTAAAGGGAGTGAATGCACCGCAAGACCAGAAAAGTTTCTCTCTCAATTTGCAGCAGCGGAATCCACATATTATAACTTTATAAGTCATTTCCTAAGACGACCCTTTTTCAATGAAAGAAATGTTTCCCAAATGAATTTCAGTTAAGTTTATCATCAAGGACAAATAATTCATCAACTTCAGAGCCAGAAGTTGTACAGAAAACTCTATTATTTTCTTAGCAGAATTGAGGGTAAAAAAAGAAAGAAAGTAAAAAAGGTTCTCAATTTTCTAAAACTGTACCAAAGAAAGATAGATATTGAACAAAACCCTGCTAAAAAATACAATTGAATTTTGAATATAATTAATCTGATTCAATTTGAAAACTAATTGTTAATTAAATCTAGCATTTGCTGCAACAGTGAGACTTCTTCCTACCTATTAGACAAACTCTATAATTCTGCAAAATTGACAGGAGAATTAACTTAACCAAATCAGAAGCAATTCATGTAAGATAATGACTGCAAAATAATACAGCTACGTGCAAGAAAAATGTTTGAGGTGCTAACCTCTTCAGATTTCCATAAACAGAAAGAAGAAAAGACAGGTTGAGATCTTATGAACGTCTAGAGGAGGGGTTGAGGGGGGAATGGGACACAGCGGAAGAACTCAGGCTTTTTTTGACAATCAAGAGGAATGGACTTATTAAACTAATAACAGGAAGCAATTGCATAATAAGAAGAAACCATTGCCCGAATTAGGCCCCACATTTACGTGTAATAGTCATAACTTGTTAATAAATGCATCACATTTACATAACTAAACATCATTAACCTTATACATGTTAATGATCTATTGCAGTCAGCAGAAAATAACAAGCAACTTAAATTGTTGAACTACTTGTTGGCAGTTTTATGGATTCAGCAAAGGAATAGAAAATATGCAAAACTTATGATTGTCAGAGGAGAAAAGGACAAATAATAGCAGTATACAATTATACTAACAATTTTCCTCATTGAAATTGACAGTACACTTGGCTGGAAAGTAACAATTGTGAATAACCTGGGTCAAAAAATGTGATATGATCATCAAACACCTTCAAATGGCAAAAGACAATTCAATCAAATTACAATTTGCAAAGACAACGGTATAACCAACTGAGATCCCCAAAAAAAACTGATCTTCAAACCAGCAATATCATTGAATATAAAGGAAGTCAAAGTTTTCAATTGAGTAAGAGTATATGTATATTGTATATATCCCAATTTACAAGCTTATAAGCACAGGGGAAAACAACACCCTACCATAGCTACTGGCTGCAATGATGTAGGTTGTCCCTCTCTTCAAGCATAGTTCCCTTTGCTACTAAATTTGACTTGAACCTCAGTGCAAAAACCAATGAAACCTAAAATGTCAATATAAGCAATCTTGTAAAACAAAAGCACCCAAATAAACATCAACCAAGGCCATCTATTATAGTTTTGACAACAATTTATACACGAGATAAGAGTCTAACCATTGCTGTCTTATTTTGTTTGATGTACGTTCTCTGACAAATCAAAAGCCCGTACAAACATCTCATACTAAGGTTGCAAGTTGCTGATGCTGAATCAAACAAGATACAAGTAACTGCAACATCTCTCTGTGCCAAAATTAATTATAAGCAGATTTTGAAGTGTTCCTGGCCCAGAACTCATGGAATCCATAGCCATCAATTGAGGACACAACTAGTTAGCGCCTCACCAACAGGATCAAATAATGCCTTGCTTAACTATGAACTGTCTTTTGAATGGAGTGCATTAATTAGTTTTTCAGAGATTGATCTATCCAGAGTAAATCCCTTCTCCATCATCTGATCCCACAAGCTACAAGCCACCGAAATCTTGTTCTTCCGTATCAGCCCTGTAATTAACAATTTAAACGTGACCTCATCAGGACAGGGTCCTGCCTTTTGCATATTGTGATACAAACTCATAGCCTCGTTCATTCTAGAAACTTTACACAGCCCAGTTATAAGAGCATTGTATGAAACTACATCTGGAGTTGTCCCATTCTCGACCATGTCATTGAAAACACTTTGACCCGCATCAATTCTGCCCGTCTTACAAAGGTGATTAATAATTATGGTATACAAAACACAATCAGGAAAAATTCCCATTCCTGTCATTTGATCAAGAAGACTCTTGGCAATGTTGGAACTTCCTTCCCTAAGAAAAGTTTTTATGAGGATGGTAAATGTCATAGTATCAGGGGTGATACCTTTCCGGAACATTTCCTCAAATAGCTTGTAAGCCCTTTTCGTGTGTTGGCCACTGCATAGTCCCTCGATAATAGTATTATAAGAGACAACATCACATAATCCTTTCACTTCCATGACATCAAGCAACAAATACGCCTTGTCCAGGCGCTTAGCTTTACAAAGACCCTTCAGAAATTGGTTGTAGCTGTATATATCAGGTTCAAGTCCATTCTTTTCCATCTTTTCCATCAGTTTCTCAGCCTCCGTCAGCATAAGCTGATCACAACAATAACCCAACAGTATATTATATGTGACCTGATCTGGCTCACATCCATTCCTCTTCATGTATGATTTGATAGTGAGTGCTTTACTGATCTGGTCAACCTTACAAAACCCACTGATAAGGGCATTATAAACCAGTATACTTGTAGGTGCTCCGCATTTCATCATATCTACTATAAGCTCGTAAGCTAAATCAACTTTACCACCACCACATAAACCAAGAACCAAAGTTCTACAAGCTTTGTCATCTGGATTCAATCCAATCTTTATCATAGTATGCCAAATCTCAACAGCATTGTCAAATTGCCCTACTTTACACAATCCACTAATAAGTATAGTAAAAGTTACAGCATCAGGTTGTCTGCCCTTCTGCATCATATCCCGTAATAAGCTTAAAGCCGAGTCTATTTTATTTTCCTGGCACAACAAATGTAAATATATATTGTATGCCCATATGTCCGGCACAGATCCAAGCTTTTCCATATCCTCCAACAGATACTCAATGAGCTGATAATTCTTCACCTCACACAAAGCACATATAAATCTCGAATATGTAAAAGAAATCAATGAAAACCCTTGTGGGATTAGTGTGTGGTAATAATGCTCGGCTAAGTCAAGACGGGATTGTTTAATTAGAACCCCAATAAATCGATTGTAATCTATACTAAACACTCGACAGTTTGAAGAAATCATCTCGTCAAAAGTTTCAATCGCTTGATTTATAAGCCCCGCTTTAACAAATCTTGATATAAGAGCTCTATAGACAGATCGGTGTTTGCCAAAACTGCAAATCATATCATGCATTCAACTCTATGTGGAACGCAATAACACTACCCACTGGGATCAAAACCATGTCGATTGAAGCCTCGACACAGTTCAGCCAAAGTTGTTTCTCTTTCTTTTACTTAAGCTTTTCTCTTTCCTTTCAATTTCAACAAACAAGCTATCCACTATTCACCCCTGTTCAATAATTTCAAACATCAAAACTTCACCAAATAAAAAGCATCATAACAGTATTATCTTAGCTAAAGTAGTACTCAAGTCTCAAGCTCAACAATGTAATATACTTGCATTACTTATATAATCTTCACCCAATTTACAAAAATAAATGCCATATTACTATAAGTAGCTTATCTAGCTAGAAAAGAGCTAAAAGCACACAATCCACAATAAGAAAGCTAAACTCAAACGATCAAAATTACAAAAAGCCTCAAAAACTAAAATAAATTACTTGAGATCAATCAAATAAACCCAAACCTATCCAGATTAAACCACTATCAATCAATAATTTTTCCTCGAATCCTAATGAAGAAAACAAATTCTTCAAGTGGGTATATATCAATCTTAAATTTCTGACATAATTACTAATTAGCAACACCCCCCACCCCCCCCCCCCCAACAAAAAAAAAATCAATAATATGTTCCATTCAATCACAAACCATTGAAAACCCATATGCCCAATACTCAAACAGACTAAAAGAAACAATCTTTAAGAAGTTTAAAGCCAAACATTGAAGAAATTGGAATTTTTATGAGAAAATTACCTTAAACCAAGCTTTAATCTGGGAAGTAAACGAACCCCAGCAATGTAGGAGGAGAGAAAAGGTGGGGAAGTTAGTAGAAGAAGGTTGCGCCGCTAGCAAAAGTAGCGGCGGAGATTGGGAGGTCAGGTGGGTGGATTGATGGGCGGCAGAAATGTCAAATCAGCGAGTGAAGTTCTGAAACGAGGAACTCCATTATAGGCTATAACTGGTTCTTGTTCAACTTTCAGTTCAATTGGTAAGTGGGCTTTCCTGCTAGATTGAACACAGATGGCTAACGGGCTTCAGTAATGTTGTGTTGAGTTCTATTGATAAAGTCTAAGTAAACCCTAGTAGCTCTAGGTTGTTCTTTTTTTTCCCTCTAAAAGCACACAAGCGGATACCAAAGAGGGGTCAATTCAGGTTATCGGTTACACATAAGTTAATTCTACGAGTAGCTGAGATTTAAGGTGCATTCTATTTATCTTATTTAACTTTTTTAACCAATCTAAACTTATTAAATAAAATTACTACTAATCTTTTTTCTAACTATTTTTTCTTGAATCTATCTTATGTATAGATGTTAATATGACTAAACAAAAAGATAGAGTCAAATTGATTGACCTGTCACCATTATGACATGAATAAGATTGATAAACCTTAAGAATTACTCCACTGGCCTCTTGATGCTTATTCCATTTATAATTTCACATTCATGTATAAGAAAAATAAAATAAAAAAAATTGGTGAAATTATACTGTAGTATTATGGGTATGTAGTTTCATAATCTTCAGTACTATTTTCTCAAGTATAATTTTATGGCAAAAGCTAACAAGTATCTCGAGACATTAGATTAGAGAACTAAAATTGAAAATAAGTGAAATAAACATTAACCACACCGAACGACGTGTGATTTAAGCATGCATTCCAAAATTAACACTATAAAGTATTTTAAGTTATATATTAATTAGTTATCTAACGTTCAAGGTGCGCTCTCTAGCAAGATCCTAATTTTATTAACAAATTTATATGTGAGGTAAATAATTAGATGTATTTCTCAAAGAGTATAATATAGACGCAAATAGAGAAGAAAGAAGTAATCTGTAATTCCATAATAGGAGAGGAAGCTCCAATTTATCATTTATATAGTGACATTTTTGTAATTAAATAAAACAACAAAAATCACAGTCTGCATTATTAGATAAACTAGTATGTGCCTATGCTAATGCACGGAATACAACTAATAATAGGATTTTATAAAATTTGAAGTACATATGTACATAGTCTTATGTAGTAGTTAAATAACCTTTCAATTAATTGTTCCAAAATCCCAGCCCTATTTTAATTTATTTATCCTAACAATATGTTTAAATGTCAATTCTTAGGGCCTATTCTATTCACCTTATTTTCACTTATTTCAATTTTAATAAGTTTAGTTAAGTTCAGATTAGTTCAGAGATAAATAAGTTTTGATAAGGGTTTCCCAAGTTCAAATTACAATTAAAATAAGTTTTAATAAGGTCTAATAAGTTTAGATAAATTCAGATAAGTGAAAATCAGGTGAATAGAACACACATTATTTGATATTGAGAGGATTAGATAGTTCTATATGTTTTTTTTTTTTTATTATTATCATGATAAAATGGAGAACTATGAGAGTAGTGGGTGTTAGGAATTTAGAGTGTGGTAGAAAAGAGCCCTCTCCTTTGAATGGAGAGGCTGCGGCTGGGAAGCCACGGAAAGTCGCGCCCGCGGCATGGGCGCGACCGGGCATCTCCAGAAAGTTTGGTGAAATCTGCGATTTCCCTGTCCGCGCTCACGGGCTGAAATGTCGCGCCTGCGGGGCCATGAGGAGCGCCCACTCCTACTGGTTGCCGCGCCCGCGGCCCTAACAGTTGCAGTTTCGTTTGTTCTTTTAATTGCGAAATTAAAAGAAAGAGCTAGATAGATTCTGGTTTTTGCTCTCTCTGATTTTCCTCTCTAGGTTTTCACTCTTCTTCACACTTTTCTCTAAGAAACTTGCAATCTCTTATAGAAAACTCTATCAATTAAGTTAATCTTTGAGAATTTGATCATCTTGCTACATTTCTTAGTGCAAAGATTGTAGTGTTGTCTATTGTATCTCAAAGTGATTTTCCAGTTTCAACCCAAGCATCGTGGTGGGGGAAATTATCACTTTAGGAAAGTGTTTACACGCCTTAGACAAGTATCCGGCATTGAAGACTCACGTGGTCTTTGGTATTCTCATGTTTTTGGTGATTTTTTTGGCTTGGTGTAGAGGCAAGTTTAGTATCTTTCATATTAGTGTTTTTCTTTGTAATTTCTGATTACATTGTTATATTGGTGTTTGGTTTGTAATACTTTAATTAGTATTGGTTGTTAAATTTTTAGATTGAAATTATACACTATTTTAGGTTTTGTTCCACCGTTTTTAAGTAATTCTTGTTTTGTTAAATTGGTGAAAACCTAACAGTGGGAACAGTTTTGCAGTTATTCGTGAAAGTGCATTCCTTTTTTCTTTTTCTTTTTTTTTTTGAAATTTAAATATAAAGTTGATAGGATTTTAGTTGGAGAAATGGAGAGATTTTAGGGTGATTTAGGTGGGATTGCATGTGAGCCAAGGATTGGGGATTTGGAGCATTTTCGTTAAAACGACTCTTAAATTATATATAAGAATTAAATTGAGTGTAAAATGCGCCCCTGCCCACCAACAATAATCAAATGGTTCATATTCTAGACAGCTTCTGAAGTCCGTTAAAGCACACAATATACATTAGAATTAAACTCTAAAAACATAAACGAAGATTAGTATTCCATTGGGGGTTGACCATTGTCACCATACACCATACCCAATAGGGAAGCCGAGTAATAACAGTGATCGAAGCACTAATATGCCTAGTATGCTCATCATGTAAACTTATATGGATCAAATGACCAAAGTTTTGTACCCAAAGTAAAATGATGATAATTGTACCTACCGAACCTGTAATCGGATAACGTGTCCGAATAACCCGATTATCAAACAATACCCCATTATCATCATACAAAATGGGTTATCTACCAACCAAAGGCTGAATATAATTCTTTAATTGAAAACATATTAATTGCTGGAATGCTCCTAATCAACATCAGAAGCCTTAAAATAAGCATAGATAACCATCACAAATTCAAAAACCCATTTATTCAAAACCCATGAATGTAGATTAATACCTAAAAATCACATTGCATACCAATTTTGTAATGCCGCAGAACTTGCCGACCACTTTGTTTATGACTTAATTTGGAGAAAACATTAATTAAATTATGGAAAAAAAACCAATGGTACTCTGTCTATCGTGAAGTATTTGTTTTAGTTATTGTTTTTTGTTTGTTTTTTTTTTTCTTTTCAGAATGGAGATGCAGTATGGAATTATTTGCAGTGTGGTTGGTGAAATGGAAATGGAGAAGTATCAAGCATGAGAGTAGTCTGCACTTAAGTTAATGAAATGGAAAGGTGGAGGAGTAGTGGGAATAGTTTTGCAGTTATACGGGATAACGCATTTCTAGATTTTTTTTTTTTGAAATTTAAATTAGATTAGTTAATGGGAAATTGGGGGGATTAGGGTAGGTGGGAGTGAATGACGAAGCTTAGTTGGGTTTTGGAGGCTCCTCATTGATCCACTCTACAATTATACTTCTTCCGTTCTAGTAATATTGCAACAACTAGACTTTTACACTATTTGTCATGCTTGTTTGACTACAAATTATGACTTATACGTAAATTAAAATATAGTCATGTGGGGTCTTGTTTGATTCGTCTCGTAAAATACTTTTACAATATCAACTTTTTATAATTTTTAGATTGTGTTTGTTGCAATATTTGTAATATTATAGATTTTTTTTTTTTTTTTTTTTTTTTTTTTTTGGCAAGGTGTAATTCGGATTATTCCACAATTGTTTGAAAGACATAATACCTCATAAACCCTTAAAAGTTAAAACAGTTAAGCCGTGAAAGTACCAAACCACCACCAAGACGATGCTACAATCACTGAAACACAAATTAAAGCTCACAACCACCATCACCCGCCTCATCTCCGGCAACTATCAACTTCTCCGGCGACTCTCTACCGCAACATCACCTATTCCGTCAACAAAACCGCCGGAAAACCGCCATTATGTCTCCAAACACGTTTTACAGAAGAAATTATGGGCAGTGTTGAATACAAGCCAAACAGTTTCAGATGTTCTAAACCATATTATTCGAAATGGCGAGCAGTTCACTAGCGCTGATCTTCTTGCTTGCATACAAACTCTCCGCAAGCATGGCCACTACAGCCAATGCCTTGAGGTTGATTTTATTTGCATTGCTTCATTTATTTATGTGTTTCTTGAAATGGGTATTTGAGAAATTAAATTAGGGTTCTTCTCTATGTGTTAAAAGAAAATGAGGTTGACGGGATTTGATTCCGGGTCTTGAGTATCATCCCCTAGACTTTAACGGACTAAGCTAGTTGGTATGGACTCTATTTTTGTGAATTACTATATGGGTAAACTATATATATGTACAATTTTGTTTGATGTGATGCTAGAAAAAAAAGGGGGGGGGGGGAAGTATTTGTAATGCTTACTGACCTTTTTTTTTTTCATGGTTGATGCTTAAATGAATTAGATGGTTTCTTTCTTGATTAAGGATTGAGAATTTATGAAGGGTAAGGTAAGGTAAGGTAAGGTATGGGCCTAAGGGGTGTTTTTAGGGAATATTGTTGTTGTTAGCTTAGGTTTTGTAATTTGAACATAGGAATTGGAGGAAACGAAACGGATGGGATCATAATTATCTTATTTGCATTGCTTGATGAAGCAATTACTACATTATGAATGACAAACCATGTAGGACGGGAAGTCGAGAAACCATATAAATGAACTGACTGGAGTAACAAGACATCCCTGATATTTGTTATCCAAAGTGAACAGGAAACTGATTCAATGCTGCTCTATATATGTTTAGTTGGTTGCTTGATTATACAATGGAAATTGGGGAACAAAGTAGTGTGTAACTCTGGCAAATGTACTCAATATTCTACATGTTAAAAAATTTGGCTTTTATGTAATGTATTCTATGTTCCACATGTTACAAAATTTGACCTTCATGTTGCTGGCCACTTCGCAAATTTGCATTCATGCTAGCTCTTGAAACTCATGTACTTGAAGGAGCTTGATTGCCATGCTCTGCCCGCAGACAACTTGATGTTGCTGGTTGAGTGTTGAATATTGCAGAACTTGTTTAGCATTTTATATGTATCTGACCTATTATAATAACTTTATGCTAACAGTGTTGCATCTACTTGAGATAAGCTTCATTTTTTGGGTATTTTATCAAAGAAGGCGGCCAAGTTAAATGCAGGGGGAATAAAATTTGGTTTAATTTCCCACGAATGTGAAACAAATGTGGAGCTACTTTGTCTTTGACGGCGGGGCTTAAAACTTATTATTTAGACTGCTATCTACATGTCCAATCTTTTACGGAGTACTTATCATTATTTTAGAGACAGCTGGTAAAAAGTGTATTCTTTATTACTCTGTATTACTTTAGAAGTGCCCTTTATCAATGGCCTCGCCATTAGAGTAGTTGCCCTTATCTTTTCTATAGCATGCCTTTTTCTCTTCTCTATCTCTCCATATCCTTCTGACAGCTCTTTCTGAGAATAGCTCTGGTGTAGATTATGATTTTGACTTTTAATGGATAGATATTGAGGTCAATATGTTTCAGCTGCTGTTAATGTGTCTTTGCCTACTGAGGTCGTCATTATGCTGGATATGAAACTTCAATTCCTGCACAATATTTGCGTTCAATTCTCTCTCTTTTTTATTGAATTGATACTTTTGATTTTGTTGTCTTTCTTGTCTTGAGTATGCTTTTAAGTTACTACACTCCTAATTGTAGGCACTTGGCACTTCTATCTTTGCTTTTTGCAGATACTTGAATGGATGGATAAAGGTAGATTTGAATATTCAGCTACAGACTATGCATTGCGTTTGAGGTTAATGTGTAACGTTAAGAGCATCAAAGGTGTTGAGAAATACTTCGACAGCATTCCTTCTGATGCCAAGAACCAGTATACATATGGAGCACTTCTATATTGCTACTGTACTAAAATGAAGACGGATAAAGCATTGGCTATTTTCAAAAAGATGGATGAATTGAAATATATTTTTAATGATATGGCCTTCAATAGTCTCATGGAACTTTACATTAAAGTAGGCACACCAGAGAAGGTGCCATTGCTTGTAAAAGAGATGAAGCAAAGAAACATCCCACTAACCAGCCTCACTTACTGCATCTGGATTCAGTGCTATCGATATGCAGTTGATCTTGTGGGTCTTGAACAAGTTATGCATGAAGTTCAAGAGCAGGACTCTGTAAGGGATGATTGGAAAATATACAGCAACCTTGCTGCAGTGTACATTAAAGTAGGCACACCAGAGAAGGTGCCATTGCTTGTAAAAGAGATGAAGCAAAGAAACATCCCACTAACCAGCGTCACTTACTGCATCTGGATTCAGAGCTATCGATATGCAGTTGATCTTGAGGATCTTGAACAAGTTTATGCATGAAGTTCAAGAGCAGGACTCTGTAAGGGATAATTGGAAAATATACAGCAACCTTGCTTCAGTGTACATCGAGGCTCATCAGTCTGAAGAAGCTAATACTGCCTTGAAAAGAATGGAGGAACTTTTTGATAATCCAAGGAGTGCTGACCGCAAAGCTTACCATTACCTGATTTCCATGTATGCCAAAACTGGTAATTTAAATTCTGTTTATTAGGCATGGGAGAAACTGGTATCAAATTTTAAAGTTTGTCATAATGCAAGCTACCTTACAATGCTTCGAGCCTTGTCAGTGCTAGATGATATTGAAGGCCTAAAAAAATTATTAGAGGAGTGGGAGATGGGTTGCTTAGTTTATGACGGGAGGCTACCAGCTGTTGTTATAGGTGCTTACCTGAGGCATGACATGCTTGAAGAGGCTGAACAGCTGCTGAGAGATATAAAAGTTAAGGCTGGTCGGCTGATAAAGTTTGCCCATGTCCTTTTCATGAACTACTTCTTGGAAAAACATCAATTTGATTCCGCATTGAAGCATATGGAAGCTGCAATGGCTGTCAAATGGAAGCCAGTAGTAGAAAAGCTTGATCCTTTCTTCAATCATTTCAAAGAAGAGAAAAATGTTGATAGTGCTGAAGAATTTTGCCAAAAGTTAGTGAAAGTCCAGCCTCTCGACTCGAGGACCTACTTGTGGTTGCTTCAAACTTATGCAGCTGCAGGTAAAACAGCCCCAAACATGCGTCAAAGGATGGAGGGAAGTGGTATAGATATTACCCCTGAGCATGAGGAGTTGCTCCAGAAGATATGTTAGCTATTCCCCTTACATTGCCAAGTCCCCTGGCCAGTTGGCTCCCTTTTCTGTTATGTTTTGAATTATATTGCTCAATTAGATATGCCTGAATTAACTTAGGAGTCAAAGTTAAGCTATTGTTTGGAGTAATGTTGAAAATTGGTTGATTACTGTTGTTACATTATTTCAACCTGTAATCCTGTATACAATTTTACAATTACTACCAGTCTTCCAGCTATATTTATCTATCAGCCAATATACAAAAATATTCATGTATTTTTTTTTCTTTCTCTATTAAATTGATCAAACTAAAGACTGTCTAATAAGGGCCCTGTAATATTGGCTTAAATCCTATACTCATTGGACTACTCAACTCAATAACAGTTGTAGACGTATAGTTGATCGTTATACTTGTATATTTTTTTTTTTACTCATGTACAAAAATTGAACAAATTTCTTTGGTTCACATGCAAAAAAAAAAAAAAAAAAAAAAGTTTATTTTGCTTGTTAAAAGATTTTTACCGACAGAAATATTTTGATCAGTGAAAGGAGGAGTAAAGAAGAAGAGAAAGAGGATGGGTGAAATGTCATAGCTTTACTCACTGGCGGAGCCAGCGTGGGACAAGGGGGGACAGTTGTCCCCCCACTTCCAAAAAAAAAATAGTATAAATACAATATTTTGTGCATAATGTAATAGACCAAAGGAGTTAGCGCAATGGTTAAAGTAAGTTGCATGAGTTTGTACTTGTAGTCTTAGGAACTGGGTTCGATTCTTCCTGTGCGCTTTTTCTTTCCTTTATTTTTTTTTTTTTTTTTGTTTTTGTTTTTTTTTTTTTTTTAAAAAAAATTATTATATATATAAATCTTTATAAGATTTTGAAACCTAAATTTTTATAAGATAGTATTACTTCAATTTAATTCTTAACATTACCCCATTTACTTATTTGAATAATTGTAACTGTAGTTCCCTTTATTTATTTATTTATTTTATTTGTTTTTTAATAAATCTTTATAAGATTTTGAAACCTAAATCTTTATAAGATAATATTACTTCAATGCATTTCTTAACAATTACTCCATATACGTATTTGAATCTTTGTAATTGTAGTTTTGCATGAGCTTTACCCCAAATTACGATTGTTATAGCCTAATAGATAATTATGACAGTATTACATTTAAATAACTATATTATTAATTGTTTGAAATCTTCAAAAATTATGAACCCCTAAACAAATAGTTTATGGAGAAAAGTGGTATACGATGTTGATTTTTTGACTAAGTACTCCGTATTTTATATTTTGAGCTGTAAAACTTTAACTATTCAAGCATATTTTTGCTCCAATATTAAACTAAGTGATGATGTTTATTTGTCCCCCCGGTTTGAAATTCCTGGCTCCGCCACTGGCTTTACTTACTACATCACGACTCTTATTTATAGTAAGATTTTACAATAAAATATTAGGCATTATTGTACCTTTTAGTATATGATTGATAGCTATAATTGATCTAAATACATGTGAACTTTCACATATGTATTTTTCTAAACATTGATTAAATTCTTTAAGTGCACATTATAAGTAAATTTACAAAATTGTTGTGAGCAATAAGAGCAAAACCAACATGCTAGTTTGTACAAATTTGTCAAAATGTGTCTACGCGTTTGGTGCAAAAAATTAAAGTTAGTTTACTCATTTGTGCAACTGAAACTTGACAAATGATTGAACCGATTGTACGGACCTCAAAACCCCTAATCACCATAACATAACAACATAAACCCTTGATAAACCCCAACTCCTCCACCATTACCAAACAAACAACACAATGTTTTTACAATCACTAAAACACAAATTCAAGCTCACAACCACCACCTTCCGTCTCATCTCCGGCGAGTCGCAGATTCTCCGGCGACTCTCCACCGCCACACCACCAGTTCCGTCTAAAAAACCGCCGGAAAATCGCCGTAACATCGACAGACAACATTTGTATAAGAAGATATGGTCGGTGGTAACTTCAGGCGAAAGGATTCACGATGTTTTATTCAGGATATTGCAAAATGGGGAGCAGTTTATTAAGACTGATCTTATATTTTGTCTTAAAGATCTTCGTAAGTTTGGCCACTACAATCAATGCCTTGAGGTTAGGTTTACTTTTATTTCTGTTTTGGGGTAAATTTATGCAAGAAATTTGATTTTTTGTTTCTGCCCAGATTTTGTTTTGCAATTTCCTGAAATGGGTATTAGATTAATTGTGGATTTAGCTAGGTCTTGACTCTTGAGTATGATCCAATATTTCAAGTTTGCATTTTTGTTTGACTTAATTAGGAATTTTCTCTTTCATGTATGAACTATGAAATTATGAATGAATTTGTACTGTTGATCAATTGATGGTTGTTACTAAAATCTGATGCATGTGCAAATTGCAATGCTTAATGTAGAAAATTCTAGACTCTAGCAGGTAAACTTGCTGCTGATTTTTACTATGAACTATGAATTAATTATGTGGAACTTTTATCTATATATGCAATGGTTGATACCTTAGGATATGGACGGTCCATTTCTTATATTGGTGATTGAGAATGCATAAACAGAGAAAATTAGGGGTGTGAAACGATATTTTGTTGCTGTTTGTGTAAATATAATAAAGGAAATGGTAGAGATATAATGGAGAGGATCCTTATGTTTATTTGTAGTGCTAATGAAGCAAATACTACATTCTAAGAGACAAACTAGTGGCCAACTAAGTCAAGTTGGAGTTCTTGAAGATTAATGGCAGTTAATTTTTTTCCTTTCTTCTTTTTTTTTTTTTTCAATACCTAATAGGTTCTGTGTGGTGAAAGTGAATGGGATTTTGGCATTAACTTATGGTTTAGGCAATGATTAGGCATACGAGAGGGCTAAAAGGTTCAATTTTGAATAAGTTCAGACAACTTTAATAAGTAAGGACAGTTAGATGAGTTCAAACATATTCACAAGTAAAAGTAAGTTCAAGTAATTGTAGACGAGTTATGATATATTCAAAAAGATATAAGTCAAAATAAGTTGAAGAGAATACACCCTTTATTGGGTTGGCAATATAGTATTTTAAAGGGCTTATATCTTAGCATAACTCATAGGGTTTTACTGGTACATAACTCTTGCAGTATTGCCAATTTACTTGCAAAATTCTACATGTTATTCCGATCAAATCTTTACCTAAATATGTTGGCACTTGGAAAATATGCATACATGTTTTCCTATCGATTGTGAATCTTACTATGTTTTAGCAATTTGTATATATCTGACCCTATATGATGAATATAAGTGAATAGTTTTGCTTCTACTTTGGTCCTATATTTCTTCAAAGATGATGACCAAATTGATTGCAGGGGGTATATAGCTTGGTTTTATTTCCCATGATTATAAAACAAGTGCAGATCATTCTGTATTGGAAGGCGAGTCTTAAAACTAGAATTCAGCTCAATATCTACAATATCCAATCAAACCTATTATCCATCATTCTCTAGATAATATTAGTCCATACAACAGGTAAAAATGTGTGCTCTTTAATCTTTTATTATCACACCAGACGATATATTGATGCTCCCTGCTTCTTTCTGGCATGCATTAGTTTGTGTTCATTCTCCCTCCTCTCTATGAATCACGCCCCATCTGTCTCTAGACATGCGTGCATAACCCTCTCCTTAATCCTTCCTCCTATTTACTCTAATGGAATGCTCCTATTAATAGCTATCTCTAATAGCTATCTAATTTTGACTTTTGGTTGCTAAAAATTGAGGACCTGGAACATCTTAATTGTAATCAGGGGGTTGATGATCGAAAATCCCTCTGGAGGAGACCAAAGCCATAATCCCATGGCCGTTGATGTATCTCTGACTATTGAGGTCGCTTGAGCAAAAGAAAGTAATATCCTAGGGTAGATTTGTAATAATGTTAACCCAAGTCTCAGACTACAGCATAGTAGCTTATAAAGAATAAGTGAGTTGCTAAAATGAAGCATAATCAATCAATCAAAGTCTTAATCCCATAAGTGGGATCAGTTACATAAACCAAAAATGATTATTCAGTATATTCATCCACAAAAATCTTCCCTCATCCCTTACGATCAAAAAACTCATTCTCATGCAAATCCATATGCTTCATATCCTTCCTATTCCTTCCAACCACGTCATTTTCGGTCTCCCTCTACCTCGTTTAACCTCTTCATAATCCCACTCTTCCACTCTTCGTACCGGTGCACCATGGGGTCTTTGTTTTACATGACCGAACCAACGATGATGATTTTCCCTTACTCTGTCTTGCCTGCAACAACCACTTTCTTGTGAATAATTTCAATTATGATTCTATCTCTTAGAGTGTTCCTGCACATCTATCTTGACATGCGCATTTCCGTAACCTCCATCCTTTTAATATGCTCCTTCTTAGAAGCCTAACATTCTGTATCATAAAGCAAAGCACCACTGGTCTCATGGCGTCCTATAGAATTTCCCCTTTAACTGTAAAAGAATGCTTCAGTCACATAACACTTTCGTGGCCGCTTTCTATTTAAACCACCCGACTTATTCCTGTGGGCCACGTCTTGATCAATGTCACCATTCTTCTGGATGATCGACCCAAGATATTTAAAACACTCACCCATGGTCAAATCCTTTCCGTCCAAACTCACTACATCATCGCTTCCCCCCCTCTGTGCACCAAAGCGGCATACCAAATATTCAGTCTTACTCCGACTTAGCTTAAACCCTCTAGATTCCAACTTTTGCCTCCATTGCTCCTATTTGGCATTAACCTCATCTTTAGTTTCATCCACCAAAACAATATCATCCGCAAACAACATACACCATGGGACCTCATTTTGAATTGGCCTGATTATTTTATCTAGAACCGTTGCAAAAAGAAAAGGGCTTAATGCAGACCCTTGAATCCTTGATGCAATTCAATTGTAATAGGAAAATCATTTGTCAACCCACTACATATTCTCACATTTGTTGATACATCCTTATACATATCCTTAACTAGGTCCATGTAACTTTGTGGGATACTTTTATTCAACATTGCCCACCAAACTACCTCTATAATAAAAACTTAAATTACCAAAAATTTCTTTTTTCTTTTTCTCTAATTTAGGAACATTGCTGCAACTTTCTTTCTATTCTTGTCATAAAGATTCAGATTAATCTTCCCATTTAATTAGGGACAGAATTTCTGTTTGAGATGATTTGATTGTTTGTATTTATGAGCTACTTGCAGATAAGAATTTAAATCCATCACAATGTTGTTTTTGCATTCAGTTCTCTCTTTCTTTCAAATTGTTACTCTTAGGTTGTTATTTTGGTGTTGAATATGCTTTCTGCGTTGCAGATACTTGATTGGATGGATAAAGGTAGATATGGCAATGCTGCTACAGACCATGCATTGCGTATAAATATAATGTGTAAAGTTAAGAACATTGATGAGGTTGAGGAGTACTTTGACAGCATTTCTCCTGATCTCAAGAACCAATATGTATATGGAGCACTTTTAAGTTGCTACTGTACTAAAATGATGACAGATAAAGCATTGGCTCTTTTTGAAAAGATGGATGAACTGAACTATGCATCCAATGATCTGACCTTCAGTAACCTCATGAGTCTTTATATGAAAATAGGCCAACCAGACAAGGTGCCTAATCTTGTAGAAGAAATGAAGCAGAGAAACATCCGACTAACCAACCACATATACTACATCTGGATTCAGAGCTATCGATATCGTGTCAATCTTGAGGGTCTTGAGCAAGTTATGCTAGAAGTTCAAGAACAAAGCTCTGTAAAGGAGGATTGGCAAATCCATAGCAACCTTGCTGCAGTGTATATAGCGGCTGGTCAATCTGAGAACGCTAACGCTGCCTTGAAAAAGATGGAGGAGCTTTTTGACAAGCCTAAGAAAGCTGACCGCAAAACATATCATTTTCTGATTTCCATGTATGCCAGTACTGGTGATTCAGAGTCTGTTTATCAGGCATGGCATAAACTGAAGTCAAGATTTAGTGTTTGTCCAAACATCAGCTACCTTGTTATGCTTCGAGCCCTGTCAATGCTAGATGATATTGAGGGACTCAAAAAGTTTTTAAAGGAGTGGGAATTGAGTTGCATAAATTATGATGACAGACTCCCAACTGTCCTCATAGATGCTTACCTTAGGCATAACATGCTTGAAGAGGCTAAGCATCTGCTAAAAGACGCTGAAGATAAGGCTGAACAGAAAATAAGGATTGCTCATGTTATTTTCATGAACTACTACCTGGAGAAACATAATTTTGATTCCGCTCTGAAGCATATGGAAGCAGCAATGGCTGCCAATTGGAAGCCATTAGCAGATAAGCTTGATCCTTTCTTCGAGCATTTCAAAGAAGAAAAGGATGTTAATCGTGCTGAAGACTTATGCAGTAAATTAGAGGAAGTTCAGGCTTTCAACTCGAGGACCTACTTGTGGTTGCTTCAGGTTTATGCAGCTGCAGGTAAAACAGCCCCGAAAATGCGTCAAAGGATGGAGGAAAATGGTATAGATATAGGTGCTGAGCATGAGGAGTTGCTTCAGAAGATATGCTAGCCGTCCAATGCCCTGGACATTTTTTTTATACGGTATGTTTTAATTAGAGTTGCTGAAGCCTCAAGTAAGTATCCCTGAATTAACTTAGGAGTCAAAATTAAGTTTTGGTTTGGGGTACCCTTAAGTTTTTGGCTAAGTGATGAAGTTTTAGAAACTTGCAATCAGTAGATTATTGAATTCTGTTGATTAGTGATGTTATATTACTTGAAATTTATGTCATAATTAAAAAAGTTGTTATCTTTTAGATTCTTATGAGTAAATGCCAAATATCTCAAAGGATATCCTAATAAAGTTGTCTTAATTTTATGTAAGTTATTTGACCATTCTAAGATTACAAAAACCGCGTAACGGGATATCCGGGAAGATTTCGTGACTGGCGTGTGTGGTTGTTACAATACTGCGTGACTAATGTGAGTGGTTTTTACACTACGTGGCTAATGTGAGTGGTTGGTACACTGGCTATTGTGAGTGGTTGGTACAATACGACTATTATTTTGCGAGAGGACATTTGAAATTCGAGTCTAATTATTGTCTTTTAGCTGAGACATCTGGCTATAAAACCCCGATGATGGGCATGGGAGCTAACAAAAACATACAAAATGATGCATAGACTCTTAACCAAAACAAGGTCTCTAAACACCACCAGGCATATGACAATTCCGGCAGGTTCTCGCCTTTTCCGGAGTCTTTTTTCAACGACACCGAGCTTTACCCCTGAAAATCCACCCATAAGGCGTCAGGAATTCAGCAACCATAATCTTTACAGTAGATTATCGTTGGTGCGGTCCACCGGCGAGAAAGTTTCTGATGTTTTGGACCAGATTTTGAGAAACAACAACAATCAATTGAAAAGGGAGGATCTTGTTCAATGCATTATGATGCTACGTAAGTATGGCCATTACCAGCTTTGCCTTGAGGTAACTTAACTCATCCTCTTTAATTTTGGTATAAGATTTAGCAAAACCTTGTATTGTTTTGACATGCACAGCTTTTGGCGTGAATTACATTTCCTATGATATTTATTTCATGATTCATGATAAAATCACATGTCCGATCCGTTGGTGTTGTTAATGCTTAATTTTTCTACTATTAGTCTTTTATACCCATTGAGTTATGGCATTGTTGTGTTAGAAATTCTCCTAAGTCCTGACCCCTTTGCCTTTTCTGTAATTGATACTAGATTGTATCCGTGCTGCTGATGCCTTTTCTGTAATTGATATATATGGTATAATATGAATTTGGAATGAAATTAGTGAGACTGTGAGAGTAATCAGAGTATTAATTTTTGTGCTTGTTTCACTTGATTATGATTTTGCGATTTTGTTGATTTGTGAGTATTTTGCCCCTATTGATGATATGGGAATTGAATTTTGTGGAATTGCTTTAGATTCTGGAATGGATGGAGAAAGGTCAAATTGGTCATTCAGCGTTGCATTTGAATATGATATGTGAAGTTAAGGGTATTGATGAAGCAGAGGAGTTCTTTTTTAGTCTTCCTCCTGATGAGCAAAACAGAGCTACATATGGTGCTCTATTGCATGGCTACTGTTTTAAGAAGATGATTGATAAGGCATTGGCTCTTTTCAATCAGATGGATGAGATGAATCTTGTATCGAGTGAGGTGGCCTATGCACATCTTATTTGTCTTTATATGAAAGTGGACCAGCCTGAGAAAGTGCCTCCTCTTATACAGGAGATGAAGCAGAGAAATATCCCCATAAGCTGTGTGTGCTACCAACCATGGATCCTGAGCTATGCATGTCTTAATGATCGTGAGGGGATAGAACGAGTCATGAAAGAGGTTCAACTACAGAGATCTATAAAAGACGAGTGGCTCATATATGTAACTTTTGCTTCAGCATATCTCAAGACTGGCCAGTTTGAAAAAGTTGATAAAACCTTAATACTGCTTGAAGAAATTTTAGATAATTCATTTGATAATCCTGACAATGTTGGATATCATATTCTAATTAACCTTTATGCTACTCTTGGTAGATTAGAGTCTGTCAATAGGATATGGGAAAAGTTAAAGTCAAGATCTGATGATTATGACAACTTCTGCTACTTAACTATGCTTCAAGCCCTAACAAAGTTGGGTAATATGGAGCTTCTGAAAAAGTGCTTCATGGAATGGAACTCCAACTATAAGAGTTATGATGCCAGGTTACTTACTGTTGTAATTGGTGCTTTCCTGAGGCATGACTGGTTTGATGAGGCTAATCTGATTCTGAAGGATGCTGCAGATGGAGGTGGAGATAAAGCTTGTGCTGCCCATGTCACTTTCGTGGATTACTACCTGGAGAAACGCCAGATTGACCCTGCTTTGAAGCATTTGGAAGTGGCGCTGGCTAACCAATGGGCTTGGCATTCATTTGCAGGGAGGCTTAATAGATTTTTTGAGTATTTTATAGAAGAGAAGGATGTTGATGGTGCTGAACATTATTGCCAAATGTTAGAGAGAAGCCAGCCTCTTGTTCCGACGACCTACTTGGGGTTGCTTCAGACCTATGCAGCTGCTGGGAAAACGGCACCTGATATGCGCAAGAGGATGGAACAAAGTGCTATAAATATTGGAACCGAGCTTGAGGCATTGCTTGAGAAGGTATGCCCTAATTGAGTTAGGTGTTGCAGATTTACAAGCTGTGGAATGTCCTGAAACAGCTTCACTGTTTTGGGGGGTTTAAATAATGTCAGAGAATTGTTTCTCTTTCTTTTGAATCAGACTGTTTGAATTCTAATGTGATGTTATTCATGATTGTGTCATTGAGCATTGTTCTCTTTTAATTTCTTTGTTTTAATATAAAGTAGAAATACTGCAAAGCCTACAACAGTTCAGAACGCATACCAAAACACAAGTCCTTATTCTTGAATGCTCTTTCCAGCAGTTAACAATGACTACTGGTCTACAGTAGTCTGTAATGTTTCTAACAAGACCAATAATAATGCAGACAACACACTTTGACCTAAACTGAGGCTCGTTTATGACTAGATGCGTGTGATGATGCATACTGATAAGGCTGAAGTTGAGATTTCTTCCGTCTGCTTGATTTGTAATACATTGCTGCATTAGCTTATGCCTTCGTTCTGTTTCTTATCCTTTCAACATCTTCTATTCTATTTATTTCTTCCCTAAAATTGCATGGTGTAAGCTAGGCACATTGAAGCCCTTGCAAACTTCCATGACAGGTTGTTGGTCTAAATCTTTTCAAATAAGGTTGTTTTGGCCTCTATATTGTATAGATGATTCAGAAGAACACCACTGATCTGTCGTGAGATCTGATCTTTAATGGCTTTAACATTGCATGCTGTTGTGATTTCCACCATCAAATACTGCAAGACAATTGTCTATGTCTCTTTTTGTTTTAAATTTCTTTTACCAACTAGCTTAACCTGTGTTACATATGCATTCCAGCATTTACAGGTCAGAATTCTTTCAACATAAACAATTTACTAGGAAAACTGAACTTACCCACAGCCTTCTTGTCAAATAGACCTACTAGTTTTACCTGTGTTACATATGCATTCCAACATTTACAGGTCAGAATTCTTTCAAAATCAACAGTTTACTAGGAAATCTGAGCTTACCCACTTCCTTCTTGTCAAATATACCAACAATTATAACTTGATAATCCGATAACTTCTGAAGCATATCATTCCCAAGCTATTCTTATGACTTAAGCCATTTTAGCAGACCTCTTCAACAGTTAGATGTCAAGTCACTGCATCTTTAGGAACAACAGTAATTTTGTTCAATTTGTGGAGTGATTTAGCCATAGGCTCTGCATTTTTGCTGCAGTTATACCAGTGAGCTTCTCAGATATCCTGCTTCTGTTTGAAGTTTGATCATATTCTCTCAGATATCTTGTAAACTAGATGGATGATTGTTCAAGACAGAATATTATCACAGTTTCGCGTAATTATTTGAGCTGTATGTATTCTGCAACTTTTCTCAATGGAAGCACAGTTTCAAGCACTTGGTATTATAACTGAGAGTAAAATGTTTATGTTGGTGTTAAAATCACTCTCTAGCTAAATTACCGTTCAAACAGGAAAAACTTTTGAAATCGGGAAAACGTAAACAATCCTTTCCAATTCAATTGATTATGTATCAACAATATCACCATTAATATTTATGTAGGCGATCAAAGGCTTGAATTATACGAAGTAGAATTGTAGGGCATGTTTTCTTTTTTTTTTTTTTTTTGAAGAATGCAGGGCATGATAAAATCTTGATCCCCAAGGCTAAATCTCCAACCCGGCAGTCGGCAATCTCGGCATGATTACATTCCTCTCACTAAAACCCTGATTACATGTCACTTGGGCTTGGCACGAGATGAAAGGCCTAAAAATACACTGGAGTAACATTTATGAAAGTAAAGTTTTTATTTTTTATTTTTGTATTTTTACCTTGTAATCTTGTATTGTGACAATCTTGTACTCCGTAGCATGTACTCTTTCACAAAAATCATTCAACATCTTCTAATATTTTTTTCTCACATGCCTATCTCTAATACTAATACAAAGTAAATTTTACTTAAAATTATGAAATTTTAGTAATCTTATCATCAATCAATAACTTAATACTAAAATAGACTCCGGAAGTGACACATGTCTTTTTCTGGTGCTGTTTTTTCCCTCCAAAATCACTATTTTGATTTTTTTTTTTTCTTTTTATTTTCATTTTACATTACATGACATTTACTATTTAAACATTGATTACACAAGATTCAAAATATATTTACTATATTAAAATTGATTTTGGTAAATTTAGTTAGTAAAAAATAAAATGATCATTGTACAATTTTCAATATACATTAAGTCAACGCCTCTTGCATTTTTTAACAATGGAAAGAATATAAAATTTTATATCATCTTAGCCATAATATACATATCTCCTATATAAGTTAAGATATTTTTAAGATAATAATAATAATAATAATAATAATAATAATAATAATAATTTTTAGGGTGTTTCGGGATTGTTTGGTGCAGTCTTAAAGGGCGGTTTTCAGGCTGGTTTCTGGCCGTCATTCAGGCGGTTTTCAGGCGTCGTTCTTGGGCTGTTTTAAGGCAATTTCGGGTTGTTTAGGGCGAGTTTCAGACCTGTTTTTACTGGGCGATTTTCAGCCCTGTTTCGGGTTGTTTTCAGCGCAAGGTTCAAGCGGTTTTCTCTTTGTTTTTCAGGCTATTTCCTGCTCGGCTTTGGGTGCAGTTTGGTGGTGGTTTGGGTGTGATTTTCGTGCAGTTCGTGGTGCAGTTTTGGTGTGGTTTCGTGAGCAGTTTCTGGTGCAATTTTGGTGTATATAAGGTGCAGTTCATGGTGCTTTTTGGTGGTGGTTGTGGTGCAGTTCGTGGTGCAGTTTTGGTGTGGTTTCGTGAGCAGTTTCTGGTGCAATTTTGGTGTATATAAGGTGCAGTTTTGGGTGCTTTTTGGGTGCAGTTTTAGTGTGTAGTTGATGTGCTATTTTGGTGTGTCGTTTTGTGTTCTTTTCGTGGCAAGTTGTGGTGGGTGTTATGCCTCCTATTGTTCGTTTTCGTTGTCCATTTGCGGGTCTAAATGGGTGTCAGGATGGTGGGGGTAATGGGCTCACTAAAGCTTATTTACTCACTCATCTCCGTGATCGTCATTGTTGTGGGGATGCACGAGATTTGACTCGACACTCTCTTTCTTTTGATTTGGCCATTTTCTTAAAGGCGGAGTCAACATTTCGTCGTATGGGCATTTGGTTTTGTGGGGAGTGTTTCAAGACACATACTTTTCGTACGAAGTGTCGACATGGTCCTGGTTCTGATGATATTGTGGCCCCACCTGATTCTAGGGATGGTATTGTTCGGTTCATCCTTTATGGTTTTTCTAAACCGCAGGGTCCATCTTCGGGAGTATCTGATCTTGTTCCTAGTGTGCCTTGTGAGCCTCTTTTTGCATTCGATGTTGCTCTCTTGGATAGTTTGCTATCTAAGCGGTTTCGTTCGGTGAAATCTATTCCTCCTAAGTGTCGCTTGGGTTTTTCTCGGGTTCTAAAAGGTGCGCTTGATAAGGTGATATGCAAGCCTGATGACGTCTCTTGTTGGGTTCAACTGCTTGTGTTGCCTCTTTGTGTTCTAAAAACCTTTTCTCCAAGGAGTAGTCGTGAGTGTTCTTTGGGTGTCAGGCGGCAGCGGCAGGAAGAGAGTATCTCCGCTGCTATTCGATCTTGGTGTGAGCCTGGTGGTCCTGTGCGGGATACGTTGGCTGATGTGTCTCCACCTCTGTTGGATGCTGATGATGTGCATGATTTGTCTGAGCGTAATATTACGCAATGTAAGAGAAAGATTAGTGACGGACATTACACTGCTGCGGTTCGGGTGCTTTCGTCTTCTGGTCTTGCCCCTTACAATGATGCTACTCTTGCTGATTTGCAAGCTAAGCACCCTTCCTTTCTGGCTCCTATCTTACCGGATATCCCCGTTGATCAGCCCCTTATTGCTAATCCTGCTGTTGTCTTAGATCAGATTAGGGGTTTTCCGCGTGGTACGTCATGCGGTAGAGACGGCTTGCGTGCTCAACACCTTATGGATTGCTTGGGTGGTGCTGCAGTTGCTATTTCGGATGAGTTGGTAGACTCTATTACGCAGGTGGTTAATCTCTTTCTCTCTGGGAAATGTCCTGCTGTGTTGGGAGAATACATCGCCAGTGCTCCTCTCACGCCACTTGTTAAGCCTGGTGGTGGTATTCGACCTATTGTTGTGGGTACTGTTTGGAGGCGTCTGGTTTCAAAGGTTGGGGCTGCTTTAATTGGTCCGCGTCTGGGAAACTATTTAGGAGGTCTTCAGTTTGGTGTTGGTGTGCCGGCGGGTGGTGAGGCTATTCTTCATGCTGTTAATCGTTTGGTTGAGGCTCGTGGTGGTGATGTTGGCCTCTCTATGTTGCTAGTGGATTTCCGGAATGCCTTTAATTTGGTTGATCGTACGGCTTTACTGTGTGAGGTCTGTCTCCGTTGTCCAGCTCTCTCGCGTTGGGTTGAATTCTGTTACTCTACTCCAGCCAGGCTGTTTTATGGGGAGCATACCTTAAGGTCATGTCAAGGTGTGCAGCAGGGTGATCCTCTTGGCCCTTTGCTTTGTGCTTTGGTGCTCCATCCGTTGGTTTGTCGAATCAGGGATTCTTTCGACTTATGTTTGCAGGCTTGGTATTTGGATGATGGCACTATTATTGGTGACACCTTGGTGGTAGGGAAGGTCATGGAGTTGATTTTGGTAGAGGGACCTAGTCTCGGCCTCCATGTTAACGTTGAGAAAACGGAAGTTTTCTGGCCCACGGAGGACCCACGTAGCCGTTTGGCCGGTGTCTTTCCTCCTGACATTGCTCGTCCTGTACATGGTGTTAAGTTGCTTGGTGGTCCTGTCAGTGCGGATGCCTCTTTCTGTGGTAAGCTTGTTTCGCAGAGAGTTTCGAAGACCATTGAGCTCATGGATGCTGTTGCTAAGCTTGAGGATCCCCAATGTGAGCTGTTACTACTTCGTGCGTGTACTGGGGTTTCAAAACTCTACTTTTTTATGCGTACGTGTCCTCCTCGTCTTTTGATGTGGCCCTTCGAGGTTCTTTGGAGCGCATTGTAACTGCTTCGGGGCCAGGTTTTGGTGATTGGCAATGGCGAATTGCCACCTTACCTTTTTCTTATGGTGGATTGGGTGTCTATTCAGCGGGCGATGTTCATCACTATGCTTTCCTTGCGTCGCGTTTGCAGTCTTCTGGTCTTCAGACTTCGCTTCTTCGCAATTCTGGTATTGATGGTCCAGGTCCG